CCATCAGCAGTCACACTGAGGAGAGCCAGTCAACACGACCTCCTGAAGACTCAGGTCAGAATGACTCTGATTCCTGACTGGAGGACTAACACTGATTCCAGGACCATTCACAGTTGTACTGAGGTTGATACTGTTGTGGAGCTGACAAGGAGAGAAATGGTGAACTAGTGGAACAATCCTATGGTACAATCTGACTCCAGGTGTTATCAATTTTAGATTGAAAAGACTCATAACATTATTATATTATATTGCAGACTGTTCTAGAGTACTGTTTTTCACTGCAGTTAGGAGATTATAAATAATGGAAATAGAGGTTCCAGGATTTCTCTTCCTTTCCTTAAATATCGTCCCCAAAGCCCCTGACTTTGTGACAGTCAATGCATTTCTTTATGCTTTTTTGTGTTGAGTATGTTTTGAAGGTAAGTAAATCAACATGTTTTTTTTCCATTTGGATTTGCACCAAAAGGATTTTTAAGTACAAATCTGGTTACCATAGAATCAAATAAATTGAGGGCCTTTTTAATATTTAATATTTACTGTAGCTTAACAATATAAAATGCCACCCAGTATGAAATTGTAAACCATAAATGAGTCCTCAAGTCTACTTAATGGAGCTTACAAACTTAAACAAATAGCCAGATGTTCTGAAGTGTCCTGTTCAAGGACATATGGGTCATTAACAGGTCTTGGCAAAGCCTTGGCATTTTATATAAACATGTAATTCTAGACCTGTCTTATAATACATTTATTCTAACGTAATTCATCCCAGTGGGTGCAAGGTGAGATACATCATGGAAGAGATAACAGGTCATCGCAGTGCACACACACACACAGACACGCACACATTCACACCAGAACTTGTTATTTAAACTTTGTTATTTTAACTTAAATATTATTTAAACTTGTCAATTCCAAACTGTTCATTCCTCAGATAAATAGTAAAACAACCCTAATATAATACATATTATTTTTATTTAAAATTGTAATTCCTGGGGGTACGATATATATTTGACCTGTTTCAAAGTTGTTCTCTTAAACCTGTTGCTTTTCTCAGCATCAGCACCATCAGCCCAGGGCTTTCATGTCACTGTAAAGAGCTGAAGAGCTCCTGTCTTTGTTAGATGTTCTGTCCTGTGTGTGGAAGAAATATTGTGTGTTTTTTTAGGTGGAGGCAGTGCTTCGACATGGACTGACTATACTAAACTGGTCCTCCCTCATCCTGGACAGCTTCTTCTGCAGAGTGGACATGGCTTTGTCTGATTTAAATCAGCTGCTTAAGAAGGTACAGGCACTTAGGCATGGTCTTGATCAGATTGATTTCTATACATAGTGTTTGGATTGCAAAAGAAGATGATAGGTTGATGAATATACGTTTGAAAGGAAACATGGGAGAGCGAGTTCAATGAAAGACTCTGACTCAAAGGAAAGTCTAAACTGAGTGTTTAAACACAATTAGAGTACCCTGCTCTACATCGTTTCTCCAGGTGAGGGATATATGTGAGATGCACATTGAAGCTGCGCTGCAGGACATTTCAGAAACTGTCCTGGTAGACCTGCCTGAGGATGGGCCCACCACACTAGAGGACATCATTGTTAAAAATGAGGTATGCAGGAGTGACCGTCAGAGCCTTTAATGTGTCTAATTACAGTAACAGCTACATGTCTCATTCTGTGTGTGATGAACAATACCAAAGTTCAATCAGTCAGTCATTGTGTTTGGTATAGCTCCCTTCACAACAGATAAAAACCATCCTGCTGTCTCCGAAAAGAAAAAACTCTGCAGCTTCCTTGTTCAGTTCAGATTAATCCTTCTGCTCATACTCTTCCCAGTTTAGAACAGTCTTGATTAGGTGGTGGGAATGATGTGACAATGCTGCTTTCCGGGTTCAATTATCTTCTTTTTACAGAGACCCTGACAATATTGTGAAAATGTCTCAGTGAGCGAGAAGAGGTGAAATAGTTTGGAGCGACTTGGCTGGGTAACTATGTGGGTTTGGAATAAAACTGCCATAGATACTATCTTTCAGAGTCGCTCAAAGGAGTGGGCAGACAGCATGAACCACAAGAGCAGACGTGTAGAAGAGTCTGTGAAGGAGCTGATTGGCATCTTTAAAGCAATGTATGAGTCCAAGGAAACAAAGAAAATAGTAGAGGAAACCACTGTGCCAGGTTTGTGCACTGAAATATTTCACTTTCTTTCCCAGTGCGAAATTCCACCAGCTAACAACATACTGTACAGTACATGGTCTATTTCCTGGTAGTAACAGACTTGGAGACATATTTTTACCTTTTTGATATGTCTGAAATGGACACAAAGTGTCTTGTCACAAAGTGACTGTGAAACTGACAGTTTTCACATCTTGTAACCTGGTCTAGTCAGATCTCAGAAAGTCCACACCAGCTTAACAGGGTCCACACCAGTGTCCCAGTACAGTGACCAGGGACACTTTCGCTGTCTGTAGGAGGTGCTGTCCGTGTGATGAGATGTTAAACTGAGGTCCTGACTCCTTGCTCATGAAAAATTCCATGGCTCTTCACAACAGTAGGGGTTTAAATCCCAGTGTCCTGACTAAATCCTAATCTAGGCTTGAACAGTGTGGTTTCCCTAAAGTTCCCCCTTACTCTGTCTGCTGGAGCAGTTTCTCTGATCTGTGTGCAGTGGGGCTGCTGTGTCTCTTCAGGTGAGTGAACAGGCAGGACTGATAAAGTGGTGAAGAAGGTCCACTCCCATATTGCTAAAATATATTGATAAAAATATATGGCTTAATTCAAACAGGTCAGTATATATACTTAAAGTTAAACTAATTTAGAAATGTTAAAACTGATTAGACCCTGCATCTAAAATCAATCTTCATGATCACCTGTTTTCACTATTGAACAAACTGAGTATCAAAAGAAACTTATCACTTATACAGTAACTGCAACAAGTTTAGAAATGTATCAGAATAATAACAATGTTTTTTGTAGCAGATGCACTAACATTTTACTGGCCAGACATGACACAGATAAATTCATCATTCTGATTAACATTTGTAATCAGCACGGGTTCTACTGAGGGAGTTACAGGCTGGTAGCATGTGTCTGCTGCTGGAAGCAGGACAAGCTGTATATCTGTCACTCCTGCTTTGCACCAGGTGGAGATACTGTCTTGTGAGACTCTGTCCCAGACCTCTCCTACAGGATGTGCCCGTTCACTGCTCTCTGAGCCCTAGTAGACACATGGTGACCTGACTTGACATCAGTCCCTGCAAGTGGAGTTCTATAGCACATCAACGCTCCTGCCCAGACCATCACAGTTAGACCTCTCTATCGATATAGGTGAAATGGCGTGACCTATGGGTCCCAGGTTCTGGTCTAACATTGACAGGTCTTCTGTGTTTTTCTTGATTTTAATCAAGCTCGACATCTGACAGGTTAAACTAATCATCTCCTCTGCACAATTAACACTGTACAACTTTGTGCTCACAAAACAGCGAAAGTCACTTAAGGTATCATGATCAATTATGCATAATCTAATCCATATACTTTATCTTTCTGTATATACTCTGTAGTTATATGTTTCTTTTGATGCTTATTATATATAGTGGTATCACCCACTCTTCTATATTAAAAGTAAAAACATCTGTTTTCTAAAATGTCTGTACCAATTCTTATTTAAGAACGTAAGCGTGTAGCATTCACAGAGGACACTATTGCAAACGAAGAAGACAGCCACACCACAGAGCACCAGGAAGCGGAAAAAGGGGATGAGTTTGAGAAGGTAAGGGGTCTGCTTGGAATATATCACCAAGAGAAAACTAAGACCTGTAAATACAGCAACAGCAGTGTCAGGTGACACAGACGTAGAAACTTGCCCAGGGTAGTGGACAGAACTACTCTGACACTACTTGGACATCTGAATTGTTGGAATAGCTCTCTTCATTGTACTGTGCACAGTCTTTGGTTAGCTTTTGATATGTGTTGCTTGAGGTGGAGATGGAAAATTAGTTACATTTACAGATCACACAACTTAGGGGGAGTGGCAAATGGAAATCAATGGCAGAGAATTACGAGGAGACAGACAAAATTGTGAGCTGTACACTAGGCAAATAAAAGAGGACACTTCTTAATTTATAATGATGATGTAGATTCCGGAATAGTCAGTTATAGTAAACCAGTCAGTTAAATTTAGATTAAATTGAGGAGTAGGCAAACACCTGTTAGATGACATTTAATATAGCATGCAGGGTTTTGCTTGTAGGTAACATTAATTATAAATGCAAAATGGAAAACATAAAATGGAAATGAAAGAGTCTGCTGTATGTATGAAAAAGACAGGGAACAGTATATCGTAGAGGGTATTTTCCTGCACTCTTTACTGGTGGTTTGTGGGTTCGAGTCTGTGCTATAGACACTGCTGTTATATCTTACCCCAGCTGCTCCAGTCCAACAAGCTGTGTAAATCTGGACCAGTATTTACTATGGGTAGGCTCTGTGATGGACCGGCATCCTTTACAGGAGAGAGTCATGCTCTGTCTGTTCTCTTAACATTGTGGAAAATGGGATAAGCTCTGAACTGAAGAGACATTCTGGTTCAAATATGGAACCACCAAATACTTATGAAAACGATGTAGGTTTAAAGCTGACATGTAATTTACATCTTGGAGACACTGTTGGGATGCCAATGTTTTTATTTATTCCAGGAGTGCAAGGAGATGTATGCTTACTTTAGCCATCAGCTGTTAGATGCATTGCTCAAATCGACACGCTTGTCTCTGGACACCTTAAAAAGAAGGATTTTTGTCTCTGTGTGAGTAGAAACATGCTTCAAGAATAAGACCTATCCTCAAAGTAACCATATAATAATGTTTTTAATGAAGATACATATATATATATAGATTGAGTATCATAATGGAATTACATAAACAACCAATATATATTTTGTGTTACAATTTTGTCAATATTGTGTCTCTTGTGAAGATGTTTGTGTAAGGGAGCTACTTTAGGGTGAGTTGACTACAAAGGAAGAAGTAAAGGCTAATTGTAAAATGAAAAGTAGAAAGAAGAAAAGTGGTGTTCTTCAGGTTCTTCAGGTGTGAGGAAGGATCTCCTGAAGATGTTCTATAGCAGAAATCTTTTTTTTTCTTTCTACATTTCAGCATGTATGTAACCTTTACTTATTCATCTGTGTCTCTTTTGACCTCTTGGTTGACTGGAAAATGTAACATTTCAGTTGCTGGACAGAAAAAGAAGGTTATGCTGAAAGAAGGTTATATAAGAATTGTCAGAAATCAGTGCTGTTGTGCCTTGAAATACAGTACATTATGTATTAATTTCTTTACTTTTAGCTTGTCTGCAAGAAAAGGGCTCTTCAGTCAGTCAAGTAAATCAGAGGAATTAATTACCTTTTTAAAATCAGAAATGCACCTGGCAATACCTAACGTGGTAAGTAATTCTTCTGTCACAAAGTGTTAAAGGTTCAAGGGTTCTCTTGGACTCTGGACCCCCTTTGGAGTGTGCTTCTTGCTGGGTGGCCTCCTACATCTTTTTTGTAGGGAAGCAGTCTCTGCCACACTGTGATGCGAACCTGTGTTGAGTCTTTCATAAAAATCACCCCATTGAGACACCTTGATGACTCTTCACCTCTTTCATAAAAGCACTGTCAAAATAAATGACATGATAGTCAATATACAGTTTGACAGAAAGACCCCTGCAAGTGTCAGGCAAGCAACAGAAGCCAGCTTGATGATTGACAGGAGCTGATGATAAAGTGAACTGTAGTAATGGCTTCTGGGATCCAAATTAATATGTGAAAGGCAAATACAGATGAAATCCTCTATGCGAGATCTTGGACTGACAATTATCCGACTGCCCATCTTTGCATGACAATGTGTGAAACGTGTATTTACACTTTTTCAATGAAGGATAAAACAGTTGCCCTGACATTTTAACATTTGCCTACATGAGTGAGAAAGAAACACAGAAAAATCTTAAGGTGTGTATGAACACATTAGAGCTAGACAGCAGTAGTACCCGCTGATAATGGCTGTTTCAGACTACAAAAGCAGAGGTGCTTTTGAATTGTTGTTTCATTGTCCTAAACAATGGATTTGTGTGTTGTGTGAAAATTCCATGCCCATTTCCTGTAAATATTCCACATTTCTATAAGAACATAAGAAAGGATACAAATGAGAGGGGGGCATTATTTAGTATCTTAGAATATCTTTCTATCATCAGTCTCCTTTAGTAGATAGAAGCTAATTGATAGGAGGATCTTATCCAGCCATTGAAAATAATGTGTGTTTCAGTTTCAACAACATAGCTGTGCAGCTTGTCCCCGTCTCCTACAAGCCAACATCCCTGGTGATCTTGCATGAACAGGAACTGCACAGCTCTGCAAGCTTTTGCTCTTCATTTATCTGTGCAACTCCTCACAAAGACTTGAAGTTGTGTTGTCTTTTGTGCTGCAGCCTTTGTCTTGTGTTATGATCAGAAATGGATTAATGATCAAATTATCATTTTAAAGATCTTTTAGGATAATTTGGTCGAACACGATCAAGTTGAAAGATTTGAACAATGCCTTTTCTCTCGATAAGTTGTCATATTGTAGAGGGGGTTGTAGAATGGGTACCATCAGAAATAAACAGTGCTCTCGGTTGTCACTACATCACTGTTATAGCAATGCACATGTGTGATATATACTGTACCATATGTCAATTTGTGTAGCACATCTGCACATTGCCTCTCTCCATGTGTCTGTTGCACATAGAGACTGCGACTTTCATTGCTTTCAAAGCCCAGTAGATTTCCAGATGTGTCTCTTCACAGTGTGGAGTTTAGTTTTACTCTTGGTTTTCCATCAGTCAATATGTTTTCCACTTTTTTACATCTGTTGTGTGTTATATGAGCTATCGTAAAGTGCTTATGGACAGTTGAAAAGTGCTTATAAATCAAATGGTTTATTAATATCACTAATAGATATCTGACAGATCTGATACTCTATCTGATACTGACACAATAATCACGTGAAAATGGAATAATATAACATTTAATTTTTTCCTCTGGCAAATTTATGTGGTTCTTGCCAGCAAGGTACAACGGGCAGTAAAACCATTTACCCTCTCTAACCCTTTTCTGAATCAGTGTATACAAATGAGGGGAAATGGGCTTTTTAACAGTATTGCCTTCCATCACAATAATGAGATAGCACAGCGAGGAAGCAGGAGTCTTGGCTTCCAATGCCATGACATGATGATGACTTTAACCCTTCCTGTGCTGGCCATGGTTCAGGTCATGCAGCCCAGCCTGGATGACATCCAGCAGGCCATCAACCGGCTGGTGCATCTGGTGCTGGAGGTGAGCCGCGGCATAGCGCAGTGGGGCCAGGCGGGCAGGCACGGGGGCCCCGCTGCCCTGGAAGTCAGCCTCGGCGGGGCCAAGGGCACACAGCGCTCCAGTAAGAACGCCGCCCTCAGCGGCTGCCCAGGTTTCTGCGCGCCGCTGGGGTTTACTCACAGCATTCTGCCACGTTAAACACACGCGTGATGCAGCTGGCTCCGGATTTAATTCCTGGTGTTCAGATACCTGCAGCGTTCAGGCACCACACAGACCTTAGTTTTATCAGTCCAAAAAGGACAGAAAACCAAATACTCAGAGAAAAACACTTGCTGTATCAACAGAAAAATGCAAACTAAATGAAATATTTCCTCTCTAAAATATATATTTTTTATATTTTTCGAACTTGTCTAGTAAAACCTTCTTTTGCAGGTCTTACCTAGTTAAATACGTCTTAACAAAAATGTAAACTTTGATGTTGAAACAAATATACTGTGGTTAGTAGGTCTCGCCATATAATGGGTATGTTGTTAAACAATATTGTTCACAAAAAATACCAGTTATAAAAGAATGACACTTATGATTGGGACTTAAAATACTTGGTTGTGATACATTTGTATTCATGTTTTTTCATTGAATATATTTTAAATCTTGATTTTTGCTGGTGGCACTTTAGGAACCACGGATGAAGACATTCCTGTAAAGAAGCTAAAAAACTTTTATCACAGCGTATCTGAGCACAAGGACATTTGTAAGATTGTGGTGCTGCTGACCTCTGCAGTCAACTCCCTGAGGAAACCGGCCAGTGACGTTCTCCAGCAGTTCCACAGGTTTAAGGGCATCTGGGCAGAGGACAGGGATGCCAAGGTCAAGGTCTGTGAACTGCAATTGTTGGGTTCAAACGGTCCTCTTACCCCATTTCTGCATTGGTTAGTTCATATACAGAATTCTAAAAATATGAGAATATTGTTTGATTCTTGTCATTTATTTTGTAGGAATTTATGGCAAGTAACCCATACCTGACACAGATAAAATCTGAGATTTTGCACTATGTGGCTTTTGAGCAAGAGATTGAAGAAATCAAGCCCACAACCATTTTAGGATCAATTGAGTTGTCTACAGGTACTTATTACTTATTGTCTTGAAAATAATATATACATCATTTACTGTAAGTGTAATTCATTTAGTAGACTTCTTCTCCAAGAAATATACAACCGCTCAGACTGGGGAGCTCAGGTCAGGTTTGAGATTTGTGCTTGTACAACTAGACTGTCCTTTATCTGAAGGCACATGTTCTTTCTCCTGTATAAGAACATTCTTTACACGTCATTCTCCTAATTTGAACAAACATTTAGTTCCTGTATCGGCCTTCAGATTCCTATTGTTGTACTACTGGCGTTACTCCAGTCTGCCATGGCAGCACTAGTCCTCAGTTAACACTGAGACATCTTTTCCATGTGGAAATGTACGCGTTTAATTCAATCAAGCAATAACCCAGTCAGTGACTTAATTACACGCCATTTCCAGCTGAAGCCATTTCCGAATGCCTGTTACTAGGAACACCTGCCATGCTGTGGAATAAAAAGCAGTGCTTTGTCCCCACAGCGCTGACAGTTGTGCAACTGGGTTTACTTTTACAGCACCACTGAAGCTGGCCTTGACAGTGGAGGCTAAGGCCTGGAAGATGCTGTTGTGCAAATACCTGAATGAGGAGTATAAGAAGAAAATGGCAGATATCTCAACATTCATTGGGGAACATCTTAAAAAACTCTCTCGACCAATTCAGGATCTGGATGACGTGAGATTGGCAATGGAAGCTCTGTCAAACGTACGGGAATCAGAGATCCAGATAGACATGACCCTGGGACCCATTGAAGTAAGGGTTCACTACACGTCTTTATAGTACGAGGAGTAATAAGATACAACATGTGGTCTTCACAGTTTGCAAAAAATGATGATATTCAATAATTCCTGACTGTCTTGGAACTTCTGTTTTCATACCAGCATGTTTTTGCTTGACAGGAAGCCTATGGGATCCTGAACAGATTTGAAGTGGAAGTGACTAAAGAGGAGGCTGAAGGAGTTGACACTCTCAGATACTCTTTCATCAAATTACAATCCAAAGCCGTGAGTGTGATGGGTTGGGAAGTCATGCGCATTGATGTCGATCGATTGAGCTGGGGGAAGACAAGTGACCGAGTCCCAGTGAGTGAGGATGAGGTGGAATTAGTCTGCCAGACCTACCCTGGCCTCCAGCCACACAGTGACCACAGTGTGGCTGCAGCGCTGGCAGGCCTGCGGTGCTGCCAGTGAGGGAGCACATCTCCTCCAATCAGTGCTGAACACGTGGCGTTGTGTCAGGCTCTCCAGGGAGCCTGCCTCCCCTGGGTGGGTACACTGCTATGTGAGGAGGGCCTGCTATGCATTCAGACAAACTGTTACTTTACAGATAGTCTGAAAGATGCTTCTATATGATCATTTGAATAAAAGAAAACTGCTTATCGAAAATGTCAGAAGGAAGGTGTCCACACATGAAGACTGGATTTGATTTTCTTTTTCTCACCAGAGATCTGTGCAAGATGAATTAGTACGTGTGCAGCCCAAGTTTAAAGCAAACTTGTTGGAATCAGTAACAGTTTTCCAGAAGGATGTCTTAGCATTTGTAGACCAGTATGACACGGTAATTATCTGCCAGAAGTGACCTGTTGTTACAAGATACTATAAATGTAGATGTGCAACAGATATAATTCATATTCAGACTTGGATCCTGTGTTTTTCAACAAAGAAAAATGTTTTCATTGACCATACAGGCTATATGTGGTATTAAATACAGGTTTCACATAAATCATAATAATCACTTCTCTGCCAGCTACTGGGTATTGTATACATGTGGAATTGCAAGTGGGAGTTTGGAGCCACTTATTTATATCCTACCAATCCACTGGAGCACCAGAACTCCCAGTGCTGGTTTGCTAGTGGCTCATACTGGGTCTAGCCCTGATTCTGCCTCTAGAGCTCGAAACAGTCAGTTGTTTAACAAGACTCAGGGCAATATCTACAAGATAAATTAGTCTCCTATATACTGTGCACAAAATATTGTTACTCTTTTCCTAAACATACAAAATATCCTCGAGATGAAGTGGAGTTGCATACATTTTCCCATAGGAGTTTTAGTCTGTTTCACAAATTAAAACAATGTTGCACTGTTTTCATATTGTTCTCCCAATCACAAAAACGCAGCTCTGGTAGACCATGTTGTTGTTAAGGGTCTCCACAGGGACTTTATAGTGTAGGTGCACTTGATGCCTGACTGGGCAAGACTCTGTTCCTGTCAGTTTGCATCAGTACAATCTGATTATTTGGCAATTTTACCAGGTGACTTTACATAAGCATCTTAAAAAACAATTACAGAGTGAACAAACAATACAAATGGCATGAAAATCTGAGATAGGCTGAGGTTTGAAAGTCACACATTGCTGCCTTTATATTTCCCCATGTAAGTTTTTCCACAGTTTGTCTCACTGTCCTCCTTTACCTCACCCCTGTCTTTTTCCCCTTTTCTTTATTTTGATTTCTTCTCCCCACTTCTCTTCCTCCTCTTCTTCCTGTCCTTCCTCTCTCTTTACACTCCTGAGGAAAAACATTGTACATTTTGCTCTTTCTTTTTACTTTTGAGTGTGGAATTAACGTTCACTTTCTCCTTTGCTCACATGTTAATTCACTGTCCTAATTCTGAAAAAAAGATAGCAAGTGTCCTTTGTCCTCTGTGGAGATAAAACGACACTGATAGATTCTGCAGATCAGCTCACATGTGTAATATTGTAGGCGTCCCATGCAGCTGTGGTCAATGTTTGTGTCACCTGTAGGAAGGGCCGATGGTTCCAGGAATACCCCCTCAGGAGGCCAGCACAAGACTCCAGATCTGCCAGGTAGGATGGACATGGGCCGTGCTCTCATATCAGTGATCATATCTGATCATATCATATCTCATATCACTGTATAGTCTGGACAATACAGTGCTCTGGATGAACCATCTACCTTGATAGAAGCATATATTTATGAACAATAATTTTAAGAAAGAAACTTAGATATGAGCCTCTCATTTCCTAAGCTGCCTGAGATACAACTATTATTTTTTGGAGCGGACTAATGAAGCCCTTGCTGGTCTGGACGTGTGACCTGCTCTCCCCACAACTGTACGTGACTCTTAGACAACATTTTGTACTTGATAGCTCTGCAGATTTGGCATAATAAAATCAAGATATTTGCAGACTTTGTGGATTCAAAAATATGATCTTAATTCCTAAAAGAGACATTTTTTGGGATCAGGTTACACATAAGGTTATTATTTTATTATCTTTTCTGCAGGCCAGGTTTGATGACCTTTGGAGGAAATTTGTAACATACTCCTCAGGTGAACAGCTTTTTGGACTGCCAGTCACGGACTATGAAAGTCTGCAAAGAACCAGGTACCCCAAAACATTTGCATTGCACTCTTTTTTTTCGGTGGCACTAGTAGTCACTCTGAAATAGTGATAGTGCCACTACGTCAACACCTCCAGTGTCCAATTTGCAGCTGTAGCCATATCAACTCATCAGTTTGTTCAGCCCATCCATATCACACAACTGAAGCTCACATTTACTTCTTGCACTGCCTTAGGGTTTGGTTTCTCTTTTAGTCCTAGGAAATGTCATTTACAGAATGGAATTTTCCATTCCTCCATGACCATTCCTGCCACTTTTCTGCTAGACTCTGTGCTGGATTCCCCTAAAACAAACCTTAGTTCCTTCTTTATCTAATCCAGTCTTTAATTCCACCTCTGCCCTCCAATTGCCTCCATAATCCCTGCCATCCCTCCAATCCCCCTCTCCCTCCTGCTTTCCTGCAAGTACAAGGGGTGCAGCTTTCCCTGCCCCTGCCGGGATTCGATCCTGATTGTTGCAGGATGCAAGCATGTCCAATGCCATTTCCTTAGACAGCAGATAACTGCTCCGTGCCAAGAGACAGACCTGTCCTCTGCCACAGCAGGGTTCCGCACTGTCTAGATTTCAGAGGGGTCTGTAACTGGCTCAGGCATGAGAACCTTGTAGTGGTGGTGGTGGTGGTGGTTGAGTGCCGTCGAGTCGGTATCGACTCATGGCGACCCTATGGCCAGTTCCACCATCACTATCCATAGAGTTCTCATGGCAAGATACGGAAGTAGTTCGCCAGGCCTTTCGTCCGCGCAGATAGTGCAAGTGTTGCTGCCGTTGTCACAGATATGTGACCCTCTGCTGCCACCACCGCCCCATACTGCTGCTGCCCAGGGTTATTAGAGAACCTTGCACCCAACGTGGGACACGAACTCACTACCCTGAGGTTATGAGTCTCATGCTCTACCACCTGTGCTAGTCGGGGCTTGAGAAGCTTGTACACGAGTGTATTTGTCTCCCGATGGCGAGTCATGAAAGTCAAGTGCAGAAAATTAGGGGGGGTTTAAGAGCGAGTGATCAACACAAGACAATAAACCAAGCCGAAGGTGAAAAAGAACAAAGGTAAAGTAAAAGGTGAAAGAATTAGAAACTCCAAAGCGTGGGGAACACCACCTTACAAGTGAATCAAACAATACAAAAAACAAACAAAAGCTTTACTGTAGTTCTTCACAAAGTAAACAAGCACCAGTTCTCCTTTGGGTTTTGGAGTTATAAGTCTGTCAGTAAAGATCAAACATTTATCCTTATAAAAAACACATTGCAAATACTAAAGAAAACAGCCAGGATCTGATCCCAAAACACTAAACCAGCTTTAACTGTAGTGCTCCCCATCATAACACTTGAACTAATACCTTTTATTTTACCCAGGAAATCAGGAAACATAACTGCATGATATACTGTACTTCAATTTCTATTACTGTTATAAGCTGCTGTATAATATTTGTCATCAGCAAGCATTGTAAAACAGAGAAAAGTCAATAGAGTCCTGACATACCGACTTAACTTTCTCCTATAGTTTTGAGTGATGTGTTATTACTGTTGATCTACTCTTAGAAAAGAGCTGGGTCTCCTACAGAAGCTGTATGGCCTTTATGACACAGTGATGAACAATATCAGTGGCTATTACGACATTTTGTGGACAGACGTAGATATCGAGAAGATCAATGCTGAGCTTCTGGAGTTTCAGAACAGGTAATACACGGGCCTTATGAAACACTTGATTAATAAAATACCAGTTTTCCGAAAAGTGTCATTTTTAACCAGTTGCATCTTTTGTTGATGTTTAAATCATGCATATAAAGAATTTGCATAGTGGACATTTCTAATGTACACCTTTAAAGATATTGCTCCAATAACACATTGCATGTCTAGAAAGGTGTTTAAGGTGACGGGTGACAACAGCGATCTTTGTTGTTGTGTTCAGGTGCCGAAAGCTGCCTAAAGGTTTGAAAGACTGGCAGGCCTTCCTAGACTTGAAAAAGAGGATTGACGATTTCAGCGAGTCCTGTCCTCTGCTGGAAATGATGGCCAATAAAGCAATGAAACAGAGACATTGGGATCGCATTGCAGACCTCACTAAGCATAGGTTTGATGTGGACTCAGATAGTTTCTGTCTGCAGAACATCATGGAAGCACCACTTCTGAAATACAAGGAAGACATAGAGGTCAGTGTGATCCTGTGAGTGGGTGGTGAGATTTATCAACTTGAACTTTTTGTTAAAATGAGACACTGACTTTCACAGCATCTTCAGACAACAGTTCCTGTCCGTAGGGTTGCCCTTCAGCCTTCTTCCTGAAGTGACCCGGGCAGCAGCACACTCTTCCCAGAATGAAGATGTTTTCTACAGTGACTGCCTGTTTTCCTGTTCCAGGATATCTGTATTTCAGCTGTCAAGGAGAAGGATATTGAGGCCAGGCTGGCTCAGGTGGTGGATGTTTGGTCCAGTCAGGTTCTGAGCTTCCATGCCTTCAAGGGCAGAGGAGAGCTCATGTTGAAGGGGGCAGAGACCTCGGAGATCGTCATGGTGATGGAGGACAGCTTGATGGTTCTAGGCTCTTTACTCAGCAACAGGTATGGCTGTTTACGGCAGCTCTCAAAATTCACTGCGAGGTGCCCAAGAGATGTGTTAGGCTCCAGTAATCTTTTAAAAAAGGAGCAACTGGCTAGTGTACTGTATGGATTATTTTCTGCCCAGCTGCCCAGGTCACAGAAGTGTTTCACAGTATTGTGCTTCAGCATTTATGTTGGGGATGTATCAAAATATTGAGAAGAACATACTTTTTTTTAAACGTTTTATTAAAATTCATCACATATTTTTCATATAATGGTTTGATAAGTCAGCAGAATGCCCTGATTTGGGGCACAACAGACACACATTCAAAACTAGGAGCCAAGAATTGGGAGACAGAAGAAGCAACATAAATGCCACACAAACAGTCACCCTGGGAAAAATCCAGTGTTTGAAAAGTGTTAGTAAAGAGCTTTCATTTCCTTTCCTCTAGCTGGCCTAGTGGTAGTTTTACTGACAACTAGTTTCATTTTCCATAACACCTCAAAGTGACATAATAAAGGAAATAAACATGGTTGCAATCTGCTCCAGAGCCTCAAAGCTAGCTTTACAACATGAAAGCAGTTTGTGCTCATTCTCACATGAAGAATTATAAAGGGGTGTAACTCACCCCCTGTACCTCCACTGCGAGGAACTCCACACACAAGGAAGAGCACCACAAAACATCCCCAAACCCAAACCTAGCAACGTTATTAATAGCTTTTTTAACAATCTGGAACTACTTAGAACTATTAAATTTGTCTTGTTAATTTTTCTGAACAACTTAAGAACTCCACACTTCAAACACAAAAAAAAAGAGCACCAATTTTCAGTGGATACAAGTCCTTAAAAACAGAAAACTAAAAAATAGAAACTGCATGCTTTTTATCATTCTTGATGCATGAGGAACAAACAAAGTTTGAGGTGCTAAATGGAGTTTGCTGAAACAGAGCACATTACACTGCAGTTTGCTTACCACCAACAGCAGTTTTTATGCTCATTCTACATGGGTGCATCTGTGTACTGTCTGTACTATTGTTTGTGAATGAATGGGTTTGTCTAACATGAATTGCTTGGTTGAACAGATATAATGCTCCTTTTAAGAAGGACATCCAGAACTGGGTTTTCAAGCTGAGCACGTCCACAGACATAATTGAGCAGTGGCTGATCGTACAGAATCTCTGGGTGTACCTGGAGGCTGTCTTTGTAGGGGGAGACATCGCAAAGCAGCTTCCGCAGGTGAGCCACGATATAAGCATGGGTGTCAGAAAGTATTTCTACTGCAAGCTATTTACAAAGATACATAGATTTCTCTGCAATATTGCAATTGAAAATTCTTTCAGAATGTCTTAATATGCATTGGATATCAATAGCCTTGAAGTGTGTACATGTCTTTGGGGGCAGAAGAATGCAAGAAATTGCTGCTACAAAGACCTATTGTGCCAATGGGATAAATTTCTTTATTCACTGCATTAGGCATTAAACATGCTAATCTTTAAAAAACCTGCATAAAACACTGTTGTATGTAAACTGCACTCACATCAGTATACAAGTCAATTTTAATTCCAGTTTCCCCAGATTAGTCTAGAATTGGTACACTGAGCAGTGTGCAGCAGAATGAATTCCAACACATATATTATGATATACTGTAAGATACTAGAGGCATTAGCATGAAGTATCATTAATGAAACAAACTCCCAGATAGCGTTTCATGCTAGCACATCATTTTCATCCAGGAGAAGTTCCGTTTTTCTTAAAACAGAGCTGCTGTTAAAATGGTCAGCATGTCCATAATTATAATAATTAAAGTCACTTTAGGGAAATGTAATGCATTTTGAAAAACAATTACAGTACCTCCCAAGTTTGAAGCCTCATGTTTATGCAACCTGGAGCAACGACTTCAACATAGTGCTGCTTTCCTTTTGCTAGATTGTAGTAACAGTCTCCTTGCAGAAGTAAGGATTGGATTGTGCCATCAGACTCCTAGTGTGAATAGTTTCTCTTTGTTGTTAACAGGAAGCCAAGCGTTTCCAGAACATTGACAAGTCTTGGATTAAGATCATGCAGCGTGCACATGAAATCCCTAATGTCGTTCAGTGCTGTGTGGGGGATGAGACCATGGGACAGCTGCTGCCTCACCTGCAGGAGCAGCTAGAGCTGTGCCAGAAGTCTCTCACAGGGTACAGCTCGTCTCCCAGACAGCTAAAACCCTCTTTCTGCTCTTGGGCTCTGTAGAATACCTGAGATGAGACTTCAGCTCTGTCATAACCAGCATTTGCTTGATGTTACAGCTATCTAGAGAAGAAGAGGCTGCAGTTCCCCAGATTCTTCTTTGTGTCTGACCCGGCTCTCCTGGAGATTTTGGGACAAGCCAGCGACTCGCACACCATACAGGTATTTTCACAGTGGCTCAAAGGAGAAACTTCTCATTTCTTTGATTCTTGACTATGAACTATCTCAGCTCTCTCACAGGCAACTGAGACAATCTGACCCCAGGATCTGCCGTTGCACACCGGGTGTCTGACTGCAGCTCTCTTTCTCCAGATCATCTGTTGATAGATGTTATGTTGCTGTAGCTTTTCGAACTTCGGTGCAGGTTGTATCTGGATGTACGTGCTTATATATAAAGGAGCTTGGAGTGCCTTGGCAGTGTGATTTGTCAGTAATTGTGGATGTTACGCAGAAAGACTTCTGAGATCTACAGTACCATTCACATTTGAACTGTACTTTGACAAACTCAGAGGAATAACTGAGAGGGAGTAACTGGAATATTAGAAATATTACTTTCAGGAATGACCTTGTGGTTTGTCTTTTCAGTCTCATCTCCTGGGAGTTTTCGACAATGTCAATGAGGTGGAGTTCCATGCCAAGGACTACGACAAGATACTGGCTGTGATTTCAAGAGAAGGAGAGAAAATACCAGTAGGCCTGCTTTCAAACCTTTTAATTCACTTTTCACAAGAGACTTTTCCAAATTTGCCTCAAAGGTGTTCGTCCAATGTTACAAATTGAAGCTTTTAAGCTGAAGGTCTGTATGATAATGTTAATAATAATGTTTCTTTATTAGCCCTATACAATTTCTTGCATTAGGAATTCATCTTTTCGCATACCCCAGCTTTTCTCCATGGAGACACAGACACACAGACAGGGAGAGAGAAGCTGGGGGTCAGAGCGCAGGGTCAGCCATTGTACAGCACCCCTGGAGCAGTTGGGGTTAAGGGCCTTGCTCAGGGGCCCAACGGAGTAGGATAGCTCTGCCGGCCGCAGGATTTGAGCCGGCAACCTTCCAGTCACAGGCGCAGATCCTTAGCCACAAGTGCTGTGTGTGTCTTCCAGCTGGACAGTCCCGTGATGGCCCGGGGGCCAGTGGAGCTGTGGCTGGGGGAGCTCCTGCAGCAGCAGCAGAGCTCCCTGCACTCCGTCATCAGAGCCGGGGACATGCAGATCAACGACTCCGGCTTCCAGCTGCTCAGCTTCCTCGCGCAGTTCCCAGCGCAGGTGGGCAGGCACACTAGGAGTCAGAATCACTCAGCCGCTAGCTCAAGACCTAGAGTTGAAATCTACCATTGTTAACGTCCACGTCAACAATTCCCAGGCTCCATCAGCACGGTCTGCCTTCATCACCTCTGAGACACTGTGAATTTCAATAGCCTAGCTTCTGTGAAGTTTAATGCCTAAAACAGATTCTTATTTTCCAGCCAGGCTTTCATTCTGGTGAATTATACAATGTTTAAAGAAAAGGTCATCCTTGATATATAGCTGGGTAGTGTCATTAGCCTGCTATGTGTGAGGTTCCTTAAGCAAAGTAATATTGTACTATAGTATCCTTAACACCATCTCCTTGATCTTTATTAAATAAAAGGAAATGAATTTGCCTTCTTCAGTCTTAAACAGAACCTATGTTTTGAGTTAACAGGAAAACCTCTAGTGTTGAAGTTCATTTCCTTATCGCAGTCCTACTCATTGCAAGAGTTTATTTGCCAAGAGAAACAGATAACTTTGGCCAGCCGAGATCAATCCATCACATAAAAAAGTAGTATGTTCATATTTCCGGTATTGAGCCTGTATTGAGTTTACAAACGAGAAGAGACAATTCAGTCCATCTAGCCTGTCTGGGGGTTAGTAGTTAACTGATCCCGGATCTCACCCAGTTCCCCAAAAGAAACCAGGATATCGGCAACAACAGCATGGCTGTGAAGTGTGGTCCATATTCTAATGAGAAACTGAGGTTGATTGGCTCTCAGCTATAAAACTTAGCATGATTTCCATTTCAAAATTCTGAATTGTGCAGGTGATGTTCTGAATATTGTAGTGGCCAAGAAGCCCCATCCTTAAAAAAAAAAAACAGCTGCTACAGCTAAAGAACTTTGAACATGAGGCTTAGCAATCATGCTGAAGTGCTCAATGCATCGTGTTGTTTTCCCTGGGCCAGGTCGGCCTGCTGGGGATCCAGATGCTATGGACACGGGACTCAGAGGAAGCTCTGCGCAATGCAAGGGATGACAAGAAGGTCATGCAGATTACCAACCAGAGGTTCCTGGACCTGCTCAACACTCTGATTGGGCAGACTACACAAGATCTGACCAAATTTGAAAGAGTGAAGTTCGAGACTTTAGTCACCATCCATGTGCACCAGAGGGACATATTTGACGAACTGGTAGAGTAAATTTCAATTTCAATTTGAATATCCTTTTTTTTTGAATATTGAATATTGAGTCAATCAGTATTATTCTTACATAGTGCCTTTCTGAGCATATCTACAGTAGATATCTGATTTCTTCGTTGTTAGACAATCAGAGTCTGAGTGTGGAAGTCATAGTTGTGCAGTCTTTTGTGGGTGACAGGTGGCGTTTAACCTATTCACTCTACATCTGTGTTTCAGGTGAAACTGCATATCAAGTCTGTGTCAGACTTTGAATGGCTCAAGCAAAGCAGATTTTATTTCAAGGAAGATTTAGACCAAGTCATTGTGTCTATTACAGATGTAGATTTCGTATATCAGAATGAGTTTCTTGGCTGCACAGACCGTCTGGTCATCACCCCTCTAACAGACAGGCAAGGACACATTACAGTAGCCTTTACGTTTCCTTTCCGTCTTGCTGGATTATGTTTTTCATTTTTCCACTTGTTTTTTACAGAGCTGGACCATGATATTAAATTTCACCCTGTTGTTGTAAATACAATACAGACATACAATACTTCAAAAGAAAGAATGGATAAATGTTTAAGAAAGCATTTACACAGGTTCCTCTTGCACTTTCAATTAGCTTTCAGTTAATTACATTAATACCCTCAATTACTGTATATACAGTTGTCTTTCACAAGGTAATTGTCAAATGCATCCTATGTACAAAATGTGAATGCCCTGTGCTTGAAGTTTTAATTCTTTACATTAACGGTGTGAGACACTGGAGAGAATGGTGTTATTGTGGTGTCTTCTGATGGCAGGGCACATGTATGACAGCATAACAAAAGCATAATTTTTCAGTACTTTATTAATCCAAACATGAGTGTAGGCAAGAAAAACAAAATAGAAAACAGAAAGCCTAGTCCTTTTTTTAGAGTCCTAGCTAATGTTTTCAAGATTCCCAGCTGAGACAGCACAACTAGGTTGTTTACTAGCATGCATATGTGAAAAGACAGACAAGTGATGAAAACTTGACAAAAGTCAAGGTCAATGTTTAGTACAGTTTCTCCTCAAAACGGAGCTCCAAAGTGTTTATTTAAAGCCCTTGTCTGTGTCTCACTCCAGAGCCTTGCAGCAGGCCAAATACCACTGGCTTCATAACCCGTTCCCACAGGGCTGCTGTCCTCCAGGTTCTCCTTTACAACATAACCCTTAGGATCCCATTGATCTGATTATCATATCGATTGGAGTGGTTTATCAGACTACCCCTCCTCGTCGGGGGCTGCCATTTTAAAGAGACCTCTGAAACTTGATGGGATTGCAGACCTACAGCCCAGGGGTTAGGATTCCTTGACAAACACCCACCCCCAGCCTGTGTCAGTCATTTTAATATGGTGATTGCCTCTGCACATGGGCAGCAGTTTGGCTTTTGAGACTGAGGTTTCTGGGGCTTGTAGTTCCCAAGTCACTCTCATAGCTATCTGCCTTACCTGCCAGTATAAGATTTTCAAGTGGGGAGCTGCGTCAGTGTGGGTTAGCTTCTAACTTAAGGTTACTTCCACACTGAAAAATAGAAAAGAGAAACGTTTGGGCTGTACAGTCTTTTCCCATGAGTGTGGAATTAGCCTTTACTTGTTTGTGATATGAAATGTGCCTGCCCATCACAACTCTTCCCCTTACTGTGTTCAATGGTTATTGAGTAATACTGTGTCCTAGATCATTTGTAGCAGTGTTGGGAACTGGTGCTAGCTATGAAAATGAAAGCTGACTGACTTGCCGTGTGCGGTTTAGGTGCTATATTACCCTGGCCCAGGCTTTGGGCATGAGTATGGGTGGCGCTCCAGCAGGGCCAGCTGGCACCGGGAAGACTGAGACCACCAAGGACATGGGCAGGGCGCTGGGGAAGTATGTGGTGGTCTTCAACTGCTCGGACCAGATGGACTTCAGAGGGCTTGGCAGGATTTACAAAGGTTAATAATCATAGGCTGTACCCAGGTCGCAGTGTGCTTAACGGGTGACAAAATACTGTTGCACACATTAAAATCTAACTAGAAAGGAGGAAGCTACTGAAGGAAAAAGAGTTCTTCATTGAAATTTAGCAGAGTCTGAGTGGGGTGTATTGCCTGCATCCTTTATCAGCGGGTTTTCCATTCATAAATTCAAAGTGGCATATCATTATTTAAAGCATGTAATATTAAAAGCACAGTCTATAAATCCAGAGTGCTATATATATACTTTGTGTCTGGAGCTCATCATTTACTGTTGTTTTGAAAGCTTCTCTCAAGGTGCAGTACTTATCAGTTATTATCTTAGGTAGGATTGTTTCTTCCCTTTAAAAACTCTAAATAAAAACAGGGCACAACTGCCCTGTTGAGATTGATCTGAATGGGTTCTAAATGCCATAAGTGTTTATTTGCTCGTTTGTGATTTCTGAAGTGCTCTTCTGTAATGTGCTACTTTCCTCTTACAGGCCTTGCTCAGTCTGGGTCCTGGGGCTGTTTTGATGAGTTTAACAGGATCGAGCTGCCTGTGCTGTCTGTGGCTGCCCAGCAGATCTACATTGTCCTGGTTGCGCGCAAGGAGCACAAGAAGCAGTTTGTCTTCACTGACGGGGACTGTGTAGACCTGAACCCAGAATTTGGCCTTTTCATTACTATGGCAAGTTCAGCGCATACTGTAGCACACAATGAACCCCTCAGTACCTGGAGAGATGAAAGAGACCCTACTCTGCATCTCTACCTTGTCTGCTTATCTCTCATTTTCTTTCATACATACTGTAGTACCAGCAACAGTTTCCTTCATTACTGACTGAAATTTCAATTCAAGATTACATTAATTCTCTCAAGCCATTAGGGCAATTATACACACCAGTCCATCACAGGACACACACATATCCATTCAGTCAATAGTGACAATATCATCAGCAGTTAAAAAGGTAGCTACTGACTGCTTTTAGAAATAGGAAAAATACACCTTTATCGGAAATTATTGTTTGTTTTTATATTATTTTAAGCTGATTGTTTCATGTGGGAGAAGATTTCATTTTTCTAAATTAGTAAAAAGAAAGCTCAAAAGGTTATATAGAATCTTTTTAAAATGTAACTTGTTTTCACAAGTTGGAAGCTGAAAAATTTAAAGTCAGTGTAACGCTGCATCACAAAGTAATCCTGGGACTGTTTGCACTAGACTGTGACTCTGAAAACATAACCTCTGAGCTTTGCAGTGAATGATATTATGTTTGTGCCACAGAACCCTGGATACGCTGGCCGTCAGGAGCTTCCAGAAAACCTGAAAGTTCAGTTCCGGACTGTGTCAATGATGGTCCCAGACAGACAGGTAGTCAGTCCTCTCAGAGCTCTCCACATGCCCTGCTTTCACCCCAGCCCTGCTGCTGACATCTGTGGTCCCTGCCACCGCTGTGTTTCAGATCATCATGAGGGTGAAGCTGGCCAGCTGTGGGTTCATCGAGAACATCATCCTGGCCCAGAAGTTCTATGTGCTGTACAAGCTGTGTGAGGAACAGCTGACTAAACAGGTAACACAGCTGCTGTAGAGCTGTTGCTCCTGATGGTCTTCATGATTTCATTTACTTTGTTATTTATTTTCATATGTTTCTACAAGCCTTAGTATTTGGAGCCTCTAAGTCACCAGATTCTTTAATATAAAAAGAAGTATTGGTGAACACTAGCTAATTGCTCACTTAACATGAGTTAAATTAGTTAACTGGTATGAAATTATTTCTGAACATATTTATGAGATCCCTTTAGTGATTATAGCAAAATCACAAATTGTATTAGTTTGAAATGGATACTTTCAGAAATAAAATGAAAAATCATAGTCCATTGCCCTGGACTCTGCTCTGTAACTGAGTGTAAAACAAGGGAACCTGCTAGGTGATCATAATACTGCACAGATGTAACTACCAGGCATTTGGTCTCCATTGCGTTTGCTTGCTAGCAAAAGAAAGCAGAGTATGAACTGAATATCCGTCATTTGTTCACAATTCATATACCGTAAATACACATATTAACAAATGAAACACTAAATGGAATGTACAGTAGTACAATGATAGGAAAAAAAGAGTCTTACCCAGAGCAATCTGGGTAAAACTACTCTACTCAAGGGAGCAGCTGCATCCTCACACAGTTTTTCTTACCTCAGGAATTCAGGGCACTATCCACCTCTCCCAGTGCCTTTAGCAAAGGTGCTCGCTCCCTCTCCATTGCTTGTGCTGGCCAGCGCGACTGTGCTCTTTCACTGTCCCCAGGTCCACTACGACTTCGGTTTGAGGAACATTCTGTCGGTGCTGCGGACACTGGGGGCACAAAAGAGGGCTCGGCCTGGAGACAGCGAATCCAGCATCGTGATGAGAGTCCTGCGGGACATGAACCTGTCCAAACTGGTACTTGACAAATGACAACAGCTGCTCCGTCATATACTCTATACTGTATATACTTCAGATTCAGTCTGTTAGACTCCGTAGTCTGTCCGTCTGAGTGGGCCAGCAGAATAGTTCCATTAACACATATCATCATTTTCAATCTGCAGTTTAATTGGAGGATTGGCATGATACAACTCAAGCAGTTAGCAGTTTATTATATCTTAATACTATAATCTTAATAACTTTGCACAGAGAAAAGTCATAATTGTCCAAATTAATTCCAGAAAACACAAGGATACAAGATCACATTTATTTGCACATTTATATACTGTTTAAATTAACAAAAACAAATGAAAATCAAATTAACAAATTAACTAATTTCCTGCTCTCTGGAAATGCAATGGAAGTCTCTGGAAATTCACAGAGGCCTCTGAAGGTTTCCTGTCTTCATGGGGTATAAAAGGAGGTGACACGGACATTCAGAAGGAGCAGCATAATGGATAACATCAGAGACTCTTCAACCACTACACAAGTTGTAGATGAATCTAAAAGATTCCACAAAAATGAGCTGAATCACCACTTTCCCCTGTACTGTCCATTACTAAGACATCTAGGTCTACTGGTCCAGTGGCCACCCTGCCAGGAGGACAGCAGTGTGTCTGACCTCCATAGGCTGAGAGACAAGAGTTTCAGGAAGCAACAGTCGGAGACTGCCTTGTCTGCGATTGTCTGAGTGTTGGCCCCTTATCTCCAGGGATATTTACAAATAACGTTCTTGAAGAATCAACGCCATAACATTCTGCAGCTGTTATCACCTAAGACATTGAGGAATATTGTCTAATATTTTGCAAATGCAAAGACGACAATTAGAAAATTCTTCCCATTACATAAAAATCAACAAAGCAATAGGTAACTGCACTCAAAATAACTGTATACAAATGCAAAACAAAACTTACGCTAAAGTTAAGAAAGAAGTCGATATTGGCAGTCTTTTTGATTGATTTTAACCTTGAGAAGTGAAAGACAGCTCCTGGACAGATGGGCCATGTGTTTGAGACTGCTTGCAGTTTGTGCCTCTAACTTCCTCCAGAATCACAGGAAGACCCAGTGGTTACTTGGCAGCACTGGAGTGGTGAGCATGACTGGCCTGTGCTTCATTGCAGGTAGATGAAGATGAGCCACTGTTCCTCAGCCTGATCAGTGACCTTTTCCCAGGAATACAGCTGGACAGCAGCACCTATGCTGAGCTCCAGGCTGCTGTGACCAATCAGGTGGAGGCTGCCGGTGTTGTCAATCACCCCCCCTGGAATCTGAAGCTGGTGCAGGTACCCTGCTCTTCAGTCGCAGTTGTGATGTGTCTGAAGGAGCACGTTCTCTGGCACTCCGCTCCACATAGCAGTCTTACTGCCTTGCTGGGTGATAGAGACAGTAGAAACAGTCTAGGACATACGTGGTCCACTGTGCATCTCTAAAATATATACATAACTTATGGCATGCTTGTGTGGCTGTGCCTTTGTGCCTTTGTGCCTTTGCGGTGGTGCTGATGTCATGTTGTGTGTGCCAGCTGTTCGAGACAGCGAGGGTACGCCATGGCCTGATGACACTGGGCCCCAGTGGCGCTGGGAAGACCGCAGTCATTAACATCCTGATGCGGGCGATGACCGAGTGTGGCTCCCCGCACAGGGAAATGCGCATGAATCCCAAGGCCATCACGGCCCCCCAGATGTTCGGCCGCCTGGACGCCGCCACAAACGACTGGACTGATGGCATCTTCTCGACCCTGTGGAGGAAGACACTGAAGGCCAAGAAGGGTGGGTCACTCTCTTTGGGCTCAAGTACAGGAACAGTGCACATCTGTAATGGAGGAAAGCTGGTTAAAGCCATTACATCTCCTTAAAGGGGCTGCCTCGATTAAGCACGTCCTCTTTAGCTTGCTGCACTTACTGTGTAAGTGCTTTAAAAATGTATACATTTTGTTGAGGGACCAGTTAATAGACAGCTGTCTCTTCCCATTTTCTGGTCTCAGGGGAAAATGTGTGGATTATCCTGGATGGGCCAGTAGATGCCATCTGGATTGAGAACCTCAACTCTGTCTTGGATGATAACAAGACTCTGACTCTAGCTAATGGAGATCGGATCACCATGTCTCCGGCCTGTAAGCTGCTTTTTGAGGTCCACAACATCGACAATGCATCTCCAGCCACTGTCTCTCGAGTGGGCATGGTCTTCATGAGCTCTTCAGCACTCAGCTGGCAGCCCATACTGAAGGTATGCTGCCCTCCAATACCATCATGCCCCGTGCCCCATGAACTCCAGCCTGTTTGTCACTGTGCTACTGAGTTCCTGAGCGTTTTTTCTATTAAAAAAAAAACACAGCTTCTTTCTTCATTAACAGTGAGGTTTGCTCTCCAGCTGAAAAACAGCTGCTTTAAGGTGCTTTATTGGGTTATGACTTCTGTCAATTGTTACAGGCCATTATTCTTTGGAAAAAAATATTGTTTTCTCTACATTAAAATATCAAGAAACACTGTCTTATAATATTTTGTCACACAAATATTCTTTATATGAATGTTTGAGTTCAGAACTAAAGGGGATACTATTGCAAATAACTTAGACTTCTCTTCTCTCCTGATTCTTTCAGACAGTAGACTGATTGCTCATGTTAAAAGCTATAAGAGATTTTAAATTCCAGGATTAAAGAAACTCCTAAAGCCAATGAAAGTTGTGAGATTGTAGACCAGTGTCACAGAAATATTAAAGACAGTGCTACACTTGCACCCTGCTTTGAAAGTCTTCTGACTGGTTCCTCTGCATTTCAGGCCTGGCTTAACAAGCGCAATCCTCAGGAAGCTGATATACTACAGAACTTGTATGACAAAGTGTTTGAGGATGCATACACATACATGAAGATAAATCTGAAACCTAAGATGCAGCTCTTGGAGTGTAACTACATCATGCAGGTAAGTGTAGCGTGTGTGCCATGTTTGTGTTTCACCTGACAATATGGCCTCAACATTATGGCCTTGTAGTCTGGTCAGATCTCAGAAGCTAAGTAAGGTTGTTCTTGGTCAGTATTGGGAAGGGAAACCTGTACTTTTAGTGATGTTGGTGGGGCACTTCCCCCTGGAGCAGAATTCCTTTGCAGTGCTCCTGTATGGAGACTGGAGATACTGTGGGGTAGCAGGAAGTGCTAAACATGTGACAAGATAATAAACTGAAATTCTGACTGCTTTGTCATTAGTCCAGGAAGCTGTAGGATTATGGGTGTTAACCCAAGGGACCAGACTAAATTTACTCTTGAAGGTAGCTTGTTCTACATTCCCCCAATCTCTTGGGTAAAGAAGTGTATTCTGTTCTAAGTGTTGGAATCACTTCCCCATAGTTTGGGCTTGGGTCCCCTAATTATGTTTTACAAAGGTGATAACAAACCTAGGAGAGAATGGATTAAAGAAATGCATCACAAAGCTATCAGCTGTATAATTAAAATGATTAATAACCCTAGCACTGGTCATCCTTACCTCATTTTTACGCCTTTTTTCAGTCCATTAACTTGCTGGAGGGGCTCCTTCCCATGAAGGAGGCAGGGGGAAACATGAGTGCTGTGCAGGTGGAGCGGCTCTTTGTGTTCTGTCTGATGTGGAGTGTGGGCTCCCTGTTGGAGCTGGACAGCAGGGACAAGCTGGAGCAGTTCCTGAGAAACCACAGCAGCAAGCTAAACCTGCCGCCCGTGAAGTCAGGGGAGACCATGTTTGAGTACCTCGTCAGCCAGAACGGTAACCTCTCATCCCCCTGCTCCACCATGCCGGGACCACAAGTCCTCTCAACCTGCACCATGCACCAGTGCCTATACAGTTTTATTAGATACTGATAGAGGTAGAGAGTCTTCTACAAGGCTTTGGTGGCTCTGAAACTTTCACATGTTCATGGAGTGTACAAATGATTTATAGGATTTGGCATAAATTCAGAGGAAAGTCAGTAAGGAAAAACAGATCCAGAACAGTCTATGGCATGATGCCTTCATCAATACAGTTAAGGACCTCAGAGACCATTTCCCAGTGATTGTGAGAGTGAGAGAGTGACAGATGCGTGTTTTCCATGCCAGGAGCCTGGGAACACTGGAACAGCCGTGTGCTGGAGTATGATTACCCAACAGACCATGTGCCGGAGTATGCCTCCATCCTTGTGCCCAATGTGGATAACACTAGGACCAGTTTCCTGATGGAAACGATAGCCAAACAGCACAAGGTAAGTGTCTGGCACTGGTCCACAGCGGTGGTGCTGAATCAGGCTGATTCAGCCTGACACTAAATCATCATTCTCAAAACCCACAGGTCATGGTATGAGTCAGATGGCAAGATGTCTTGAATATCAAAATGACAATGGCAAAAGAACTTCACAATAATTTTTTTAAATCTAATCTAGTTAAACTAATTAATAGTACAGACTATATCTAAGTCTGTGTGATCTACAGGCTGTCCTGCTGATTGGAGAGCAAGGAACTGCAAAGACTGTGATGATTAAAGGATACATGAAGAAATATGACCCCGAAACGGACCTGTCCAAATCTTTAAACTTCTCGTCTGCCACTGAACCCATGATGTTCCAGGTAATCACTCTTTGATCACCTGGGCTGCAGCTTTTCCGATGTTGGCTTGCATTTTTGTGGCAGAGAGGAAGGTGTAGCCTGCTGATGTAAAAAGTAAGTAAGGACAACTGAGAGCTATATTGAAGAGCAGATGTCCCGCTGAAGTGGCAGAGCCTGTCGACAAAGTGTAACATGTGGTAGCTAATCTCAAGTGGAGTCAGGTGTATTGATATTAATGGTAGTAAAGACCATCTAACACATGGTGTAGCCTTCACCAGAAGGGCTTTGTTACAGGTATAATTAATGGGTTAATTTGATCAAATTTTGTAAAAGTGAGGTTTTTTTAATGTAGTCCCAAACATGCAGACATTTGAATACAATAACAACTTAGTAAATTAGTAAATACTGTAAATTAGAATGGAAGGAACTGTAACATGATTTGGCAGTGTGACATGCTGCATTAAACGCAGAGCGTTTGGAACCAGCAGGGGTTAGAATTGTGGACCAGATGTGCTTTTCTGTTCAGTAATTAATGCAAATTAAATTTTAATTCTGGTGTTCTTCCAAAAACATGATTTTCCTTTGTCTCTAGATCAGTATCACTTTAAAACGCACCTGTCTCTGTTTTCTGTGGTTGCAAAAGAGCAATATATAATTTAGCAAATAGTAATTTCCACGTCAACAGGCATCTATGCTAAAATAATAGCTGCTAGGTCTGGAAACAAATTATTAGTTTATTTAATCCCTTTCTATATTGTAAACATACCTTTGAGCACCTCAATACTCTACAAGTCCACAGCTTTGTTTCACACCTCTCCCTTACAAAACCTAAGGAAATCCTGCCTTTCATGCAGGAGTTTCATGCAGGTGTATCTTTGTAAGGAAATATAATTAACTATTACTCTTTATGTTTGAGCAAAGAAGCAACTCATGACTGCATCAAAGTCAGTGCAAGGTGTCATAGAGTAATTCAAACACTTACTGTACATGTAACATTTTAAAGAGTCAATTCACAATGTGATGTGTAACAGGGCATTTCTCACATCATGACATAAGCAACCAGTCTTCCTTAGCTTGATTTGGAAACCCAGCTTCTCATTATTCATCAGAGAAGTTTAGATCCTTCTTGGACAGGAATAATTACATTTCTGGTGTTTGACAGACAGTGTTTGGATATGCAGTTCTCACTGTGTGCTGTGCTTGTAGAGGACGATTGAGAGCTATATCGAAAAGCGGATGGGCAGCACCTATGGGCCACCGGGGGGGCGCAGAATGACGGTGTTTATTGACGACATCAACATGCCAGTGATCAACGAGTGGGGTGATCAGGTACGGTGCAGTACGGGCACAGTGGATCCCAGCTGCTGAAACACTGACGCAGTCTGAACAACATTGCTTTATACAACCATGACAGGGTACACACTACACTGCTGCAGAGCTGTCAAAGTGTCTGAGCACGTGAAAAGCTTATCCTCCAGGCTGTGTTTAAATGAAAAGGCTGTATTTCTCTCTTCCAGACGTGTCAAACCTGACTTGTCGTTTCTTAGAAACACAGCTTTAGACATTAAAATTATTTTCAGGAAATTGGTGGAAAATTTGCATTTGGAGCTAAAAGCTTTCAAAAACATCTACATTGTTTCTGACATTTTGCGGTTGACTCAGTGAGTATCCACTTCTCAATACAGCTATTTACAAGCGTAACTCCGACTATAACCGCAGGTGCTAGTAGGAAGTGTCCTCCAGTTTCAGCAATCAGAAAACAAGTGACTGCAGTTCACAGAGTTCCAGTTCAGTTGCTTTCTACAAACACAAGCATTTCCCTTTGTCTTGAGTCCTCTTTGAACTGATACTATATAGATATGAGCCTAGTTGGTAAAAGTCCTGGCTATGAAACCTGCTCCTGTGTGCAGATCACCAATGAGATAGTGCGTCAGATGATGGAGATGTCTGGAATGTACAGCCTGGATAAGCCTGGGGACTTCACCACCATCGTGGACGTGCAGCTGATGGCGGCCATGATTCACCCTGGTGGAGGGAGGAATGACATCCCCCAGAGACTGAAGAGACAGTTTACCGTCTTCAACTGCACCCTGCCCGCCAACACGTCCATCGACAAGATCTTTGGTACCTGCTTTCTGTTCTCCCGTCTGAGGGGCTTTAGGACAGCATGATGTCAGGGCTGAGAGGCTGCAGCTGGCACGGCCCCTCTGGACACGTCGGTTATTTCTCAGCTGTTCCTCACACAAACCCTTTTCAATAGTGAGTTCTGGAAAAAGTGAATCGTTTCTGGACACAGATTATTCTTATTTGCTACATTCGTTTTGAAGTTTGGATGGGTGACATGAGCGTTGAACCCCTCGAGCATAGATAGCATGGGAATACTTTGCCTTTGGGCTTAGCATGGGTTTATTCACTTCTTTGTTATTTGACACGACGTCAAGGAAAGCACTGTAGTCAGCTGAGTCGAATGATTGTGAATGAATTGTGATGGGTAAATTTGTTATTCCTTCCTTAGGGATAATGGGCTGTGGGTATTTCCATGCTTGTCGAGACTTCAGGCCTGAGATCTGTGATATGATCAAGATTCTGGTCCCAGCTAGCAGGATCCTCTGGCAGTGGACCAAGGTAACCTCTTGTATATCTTTAATATACCCATGAAAAAGGTGCAGGCTATGGATCGTAGATACTATAAGGCACTGTAGGCATTGGAATTTTGCAAAGGCCCACGCTGAAATACTTAAATTCTCCTACCTATCGTGATATTTCTAGGAAATGTTTCCCAAAGAACTGAAGGAGGAGATGCATAATCTTAAAGTAATGTGGATGATTTCCTTGAAATTAATTTATTAATTATTCCAGTGTTTCTCACATTCATAAAAACGAATTGCTCTGAATTTGTATTGTTTACTGAACATCCTATTTAAAACTGACAGGTAAATATTGCAGTTAAGTTTGTTATAGATGCACATTGCAAAGAAATGTTTTGGCTGTTACAATAAACTGTTTTCGTGTATCAGATAAAGTTATTCTCCTTTTATAATCAATCCCACTTTTATAATCACTGTTTTGAAACATTTTATCTGTTCATGATACACTGTAGTTTGTTGAAATGTGACTTCTTTTTTACCAAAGCACTGGGTGTGGTGTATACAGGGCTTTCTATAATCATGAAGTTTAAGCACAAACTGTGAAGCACGCACAGTATCTTGTTTACTATCACAAGACCTCTTTGAGCTAGAATTCCAAAATGAAAATGAAAGCAAGACTATTTCAATAATCTTGAGAATGCTGTGCTTTCAGTAGCCTGCTTTTTCAAATGAGACGTGGAAATGTATTATATGAAAACCTCCTGTTCAGATGAATTCCTCCCTTAAACAATGTGCACACTCTGACATAGTGATGCATGAACTGTACCAGGAGGCATGGATACTGATATTGTTTATTAACCTGTGACCCTTTGAGTGAAAGAGAGCAATGGACTTCAATGAAAGCACAGCTCTAGCGTCTAAATCAGATCAGAATAATATGGTCAGTTTCGTATCTCCCCACAGCTGCTAAGGGCCTTATGTGTGTTTACAAATTTACCCTGCTGTGTTGCTTAGACAAAGATGCTGCCCACCCCGTCCAAGTTTCACTACATTTTCAATCTGCGGGACCTGTCCAGGATCTGGCAGGGGATGCTGAACATCAAGGCAGAGGAATGTGAGGATTTGCAGACTCTGCTGGCCTTGTTTCAGAACGAATGTACAAGAGTTATTGCTGACAGGTCTGTTATTTCCTGATGGTTTTTAATGGTTTTTGTACATTTGTACCAAAGTTTTTGTTTGACCTGAGAATGGGGATGGATGCCCACAGCCTTGTTCAAGCATATACTGTACACCATGTTACACCTCCTCACCAGATGTTGTGTGGCTGCTCAACATCTGTGTTTCTTATCAGTGCAGGGGTTAGAAAAAGTCAACTATTCCCTTATTTCTAATTATCCTATGAAAAAACACAGCAAGGAAAAACTGAATTGCAAGCCAGGCTAGGGAAATGAACATTGATTATACTGAGGGCTTATTCCTGATGGAGACTTGGGAAGAACAGACAATGTGTCAAACAAGAATGACACCATTGAACTTTATGAGTTAGTTACTTATTGATTTTATTTAAAGGGAACCTATAGCGCTATGAAAGGTTACTTGAGAGTGTTTAATGCTGATTAATGCTTGATGAAGGCTCTGTGTGTCTGTGGCCCAGGTTCGTGAGCGCGGAGGATAAGGTGTGGTTTGAGAAGTCTATAACACGGGTGGTCCAAGAGCATGTGGACCCCAGCCTTGCACCCCAGCTCCATCCCGACCCCTACTTTGTGGACTTCCTGAGGGAGGCTCCAGAGCCAACCGGAGATGAGCCCGAGGACTCGAGTCTGGAAGCTCCCAAAGTCTACGAACTGGTATAGCACAGCGGACTCTCAGGCCTCTCACCTTAATGCGCCTGTAAAGCTTTTTAAAGAAGGATCGGACAGGTCTTAAATTCAGAACGCCAGAATGAAAACAATGATTCAGCTTTTGGAGGTGCAGAACTTTCCACTAAAAGAACAGTGAAGCAAATTATTTATAGTTACTTTTATTTATTTATTATATTATATTTGTATTATATATTATATTATGATTTATATTTATTAATCATGTTGTGTAAGTTATAATCCTTTAGGCTATTCTGGAGTTATAGTATATTTTGTATTGATTTGCCTTTTTAAAAATGCATCAGAAATGAACAGTATAGAACAGTTCCCTGAGACCCGGAATCATTCTTGTTGCTCTCTAAGGAGTACTATTCTGTGGTGACCAAAACTGAACACAGTCGTTTAGATGAGGCCTAACTAATGTATTGCAGAGCTCAAGTATTATTTCTGGATTTTAACTCCACACTCTGTGCTCTATACCCAAGCTCTCAGCTTTTTCATTACCTCCTCACATCGTTTTGATGAGGACAAGGAATCTAGTTTGACACCAAGTTCCCTGTAAATAAATACCCGGATGACTTTAAATACATTGCACAGAAAGCATGTTTATTTACACGATTTATGTTTCTGCTGCTTATCTTTACTGGCAAGAAATAGATGGATTTTAAAATACTTATAGAATTGCTTTCTTATCATTTTGCTTTTAAAAATATAGGGCATCTTTGCAACTATATTAGTACATAGTGTACTTATAGGACACAGCAAAATACAAAACAACTCTTTTCCTCTTCTTTCTTAACCCTGGTCCTGGAGCACACCTGTGTCTTCTGGATACTTTCCAATGATTCCTTATTAGTACTGAGGTTATATGTGCATGGCCTCTCCCTTCTTTCTTCAGAGAAGATCTTTACAGTTGATCGGTCAATGATCCATCCACCCATTTTCTAACCACTTTATCTGCAGTCACAGTCATGGGGGAGCCAGAGCCTGGGGGTGCAAGGTGGATACATCCTGAATGGGATGTCAGTTCACACACAGACACAGACATGCACACACTCACACCGGGGTCAGTCTTCCCAGAAGCCAATTAACCTACCAGTATGTCTTTGGACAGTGGAATGAAACAGGAAGTTCATAACAAAAACACACGCAAACATGGGGAGAACATAGAAACTCCAGCTGATAGGAACCCAGTTGACATGGTGTTTTGTTTTGTTTAGTAAACCAAACAAAAATAAAATAACAAACATAAATACACCAAAGTCTTTGTCAGACTTGTAGCTGACTTTGTCTTCTCCCATCAAGGAGGTAGCTAGCTTATTGGTGTGTTTAAATAACCTCTCTTTAGGTTTCGAAACGCTGTTATTAAATTTGAAACAGAAAAGGGTTTTTCCACACTTGCAGTCCATTGGCCTCAAGAGTGTTCATTCCAGAATTTAGTTTCCTCATCTGGACCTCGGTCCACTAGGTACACAACTGGTACCTTCATCCACCCTGCACTTTTTTCCCAAGAGAGTAACCACACCACACTACTGGATCGGTAGTCAATTTATGTAGACTGGAACAGGGAATAGTTGCCGGAAAAAACCTTTTTATTTTTTGGCATTTTTTCTTGGGCATCTTGTTACAGAAAACCGCCTCTTTTAAGAGGATAATGCTTCAGGGAAAGTACCATCCTTCTAAGATTATGTCTCTAATGGCATCACACACTGTATCAGACAATCCCACAAAACACAACTCTTTTCAGTACCTGTCCCATTAGTTATGTTCTACACAGTTTTATGAGGGCTCTGGGTAAATATAAATTAATAATTTAACTTCTTAATAATTGAGAAAGAGTTTTTCTATCTAGAGATCAATTAGTCTTAATGAGAGCTGAGTGGGGGCAGTAATGAAGAGACATGGGAATTCCAGGAACCCTGTGAGAACTCCATAACTGATGAAACATGTTAAGTTTCTTAAAACAGGCCAGTTACACACAGTCTGTGTCTCTTTCATGGTCACATTTGATTGCCCTGAATTCGTTCTGAGTGTGGTTCTGTGTGGTTCCTGTTGTTTAGGTACCCAGCTTTGAGTTCCTGTGTGAAAGACTCCAGCTGTATCAGAGGCAGTACAATGACACTGTCAGGGGCTCCCGTCTGGACCTGGTCTTCTTCACCGACGCTATGGCTCACCTCATCAAGGTCACCTCGCCTAAATGTCGACTATACCAGGGAAATGGAATTGCACTTTCACACAAATCTCCATTTTCCTGCTTAAGATTCTAAAGTGTAGACAAATATTTTTTAATATAGTGTAAGGGACACTAAATTTGATTCTACTCACTATGAGTGCCCTTAGTTTATATACACTTATACTGGAAAAAATGTGCCTTTTTCTCACTCACTGTTTAAGTTTTTTGCATTTAAGCCTGCAATGGTAGATTCTGCATAGCTAGATTAGGGAAGGCTTGTATCACTGATCAACAAATACATAACATGCACAGCAGAGTCTCACTGCCGTGTCTGTCCCTGGTCCTCTACAGATCTCTCGCATCATCAGGACATCCTGTGGGAATGCTCTGCTTGTGGGAGTGGGGGGATCAGGGAAACAGAGCCTCACCCGGCTGGCAACCTTCATAGCAGGATACAGAATATTCCAGATCACATTAAGCAGGTGAGCAGTCATTTCTCTTGACTCCACGTCAGCTGACATCACTGCCTAGACTGTGGTGTGTATTGAATAGTTATCTTCTGTGGCTTCCCTAGAACATACGGTGTCAATAACCTTATGGATGACCTGAAGCTGCTGTACAGAACTGCGGGAGCAGATGGAAAAGGCATCACCTTCATTTTCACGGACAATGAGATAAAGGACGAAGCCTTTCTCGAGTACCTCAACAATGTACTGTCATCTGGCGAGGTGAGGCACAGACACAGCAGATTAAGGACATCAAGTGTGAAGTTATGTTTTCAAACTGAATGAGAAAGTAATGCAGATTAGGTGATACAGGGAATCAAACCTAGAAACACAGAAGAAATGAAGAAAGTCATTTTATTAGTTAGAGATAAGTAGAGTACCAAACCCTCAGATTAACTCTATTAAAGCATGAACTAGCTTAAAGATCATTTTTCACATTGCTCTCTTCATATGCCCTCTTCTGTGTAACGTTGTGTTATATCTCACGTGTCAGGCTATGGGCTAGCGTGTGTTGGGACAACAAAACAGACTGAAATCCGTAGTTTAAATTAAAACCTTTTCATAGTTTGACAAATCACTGTGATGAATTTTGGGCATTTTTTGATGAAGCTAAAGCCTCATCTCTGCAGGTGTCCAACCTGTTTGCCCGTGATGAGCTGGACGAGATCACTCAAGGGCTGATCTCAGTGATGAAGAAGGAGTTGCCCCGCCATCCTCCCACATTTGACAACCTCTACGAGTATTTCATCTCTCGAGCCCGAAGGAACCTGCACGTGGTTTTGTGCTTCTCTCCGGTGAGACCAGAGTCCAGAGTGCCTGAAATCCCTTAATATTCCAGCTCTTCAGGGATTCTACTATTTTGAAATCCAACTAACACTATTCTTGCTGCTTCCCTGCTCTAGGTTGGTGAGAAGTTTCGCACACGGTCTCTGAAGTTCCCTGGGCTGATTTCAGGCTGCACCATGGACTGGTTCACTCCCTGGCCCAAGGAGGCTCTTGTGGCCGTGTCCCAGTACTTCCTGTCGGAGTTCCACATGGTCTGCTCCTCTGAGGTGAAGGCCCAGGTGGTGCAGACGATGGGGGTCTACCATGACAAGGTGTCCTCCACCTGTGAGAGCTACTTCCAGAGGTACACACACCTCAGCTCCCCCTCGAAACATACGCATTGCCTCGGTCACAGAGGCGTGGGTCTGAATCGCTGGCCCAGTATCGCCTGCCCGTTTCCTTTCCAGCTTCAGGGTGTGCAGCAGTCAAGAACCTGCCAACACTTGCTAGTTTCTGCTGTCCCTCAGCATCCCTCAATATACAGTACAGTATGAATTGTAAGAAAACCAAGCAGAGAGTGTATTATCAGATTGGTCTAACCAGCCGGACCATTTCTGTTTCAACCAGCTAACATATTTATCTTACATATCTTTAAGCAGGAATTAGATAGCAATGGCTGAACTTGTGAAACTATGTTTTTACTTGATTATATTAGTTAACCCACAACCCTCAAACGTAGATGGCTGATGGATGAGAAGATGGATGGTTGATGTCTGTTAAACTTCTTAAATTAGTAAACAGTGTAGTCTTTTATAAATGCTGTAGTGGATTCAATCCTAGATAGAAATCAAGTACTTGTTATTTTAGGTTTCGGCGTCGAACACATGTCACTCCAAAGTCTTACCTGTCTTTCATCAATGGCTACAAAGCTGTGTACTCTGAAAAGCATGCTTACATCAACGAGCTGGCAGAGCGGATGAACACAGGTGAGACCCAGGAGCTGCTCCTTCACCTGTCGTGCTTCTCCAGGACCAAGAAATAATATTATTAATTATTTCACATATACTTTTAATGATTGTACCTGGTTACTGACTGGAGCAGTCTAAGTGAAGTACTTTGGTCAAGGCTGCCCCAGCAGTGAACGCATCCACAATTTACTAGTTGAACAATTTAACAGTTAACAACTGACAGGAAGCTATTCGGCCCATCTAGCCTGTTTGGTAGCGTTATGCAGCAGAGGTATCTGGAGTGATGAAATCAGCTCAGACTGCTGAAGGGAGTGGTTAACAAAATAAATGTCAGTTCACATTCTACACATGATAGAGAGATCAGCAGCACCTGCAGTGAGCGGATGTCTCTCACTGTGAAAGAGCACCAAAACAGACAGAGAGTGTCTGCTCCCAGGGGATAAGAACAGTAAAGTCTCAGGTGAGACATGGTAGCATTTATTTGCAAGGAGCTGCAAAATCTGGGTCATACAAATTGGGCAACCAGAATACATCAATAGTTGCTGTGTCCAATCTGTTGACCCACTTTCAGTCCCAACCTCGGGTCAGACAGGATCTGCCAGTTATTTGCAATAATTAATGCAACAATCAAATCTCAAGATAGATTATACCAGTTTATTCTAAAGAATAAAGGTTCCGTAAAGTCTTTTATACTCGGACAGGGAAATTAAACCTCCCCAATGCCTGCTGTGTCTGAGTGTCTACAGACTAAAGGTTAAGTCTGTATATTGGGCCAAATTTGATCCACTGGGAGTTTAATTAGAGTAGATTAAGACCAGATTAGGGAAAGTGAAACAGTGAAAGGTAGTGGAGCATATTATGATGTTTTTGAATAAATAACATTGGGTTGTTCTGACATACACTCTATATTCACGTGTAGAGAACTATAGTAATGTAGGTCCTCCAATCTTATCAGGCTGAGATTTCATTTTTCACTCCTGCAGGAGAGTCGTGTCTTGTATGACTGTACTCATTAAAGGCAGGATGCCTGAGACACTGAATGAGCTGTATGGGTGTTTTCCTTCGGCAGGTCTGTCTAAGCTGATGGAAGCCAGTAAGTCTGTAGTCAACCTGTCCAAAGAGCTCGCTGTGAAGGAGAAGGAGCTGGCTGTGGCATCTGTGAAGGCAGATAAGGTACACAGTGACTCTCCTTATCAAACCCTTTGCTTAGTATTTACCTACAGTAGAACAAGTAATAGGTTTATTCCATGCTGAAAAAAAGAAGAAAGAAAACACAACATTTCGGCCATGGAGCCTTCTTCAGGTGTGAGCTACCTACCTGAACTACTTTACCTGCAGTCTGTGTAGATATTGACAGAGTGAAGTGCCCTGCATTCTGACGATGGGTGCATATTCAGTTCCAATAATAGATATGGTATCCATACTGTATTTTTGACAGTGGGGTGAAAAATTCTTACTGTGTTTTATTCAGTTTATAAAATAAGATTCTCAGTTGTCTTCCCTTCCTAAATAAAGGCTGGCTTGTTTGAATAAAGTCAAAGTGGATTCTAGGGGACATTGCTGCTGTTCCCTTACGTGCTGGCCAAGTACTGCTGTACTTGCAGTTACAGAAGACTTGTCTTCTGAGTGGGCCTGAGGCTGGCGTTCCTCTCCCTCTCAGCTCTCGGCCTCTGCTCTTCCAGGTGTTGGCCGAAGTGACCGTGAGCGCAGAGGCTGCCGCCAAGGTGAAGAATGAGGTGCAGGTGGTGAAAGACAAGGCGCAGAAAATCGTGGAGGGGATTGGAAAAGAAAAGGCAGTTGCAGAAGTGAAACTGGAAGCTGCCAAGCCTGCCTTAGAGGATGCAGAAGCTGCCTTAAATGTAAGTATGGAGACGCAGATTCTTCCGTGAGTGTGGTGGCTATTTCAGCTCTGTTTATGAAATCTTGATGTATGTCTGTTATAATACAGAGGGATAAAACAATCATGAAGGGTGATCTCTCAGCAGGTTGGTCAGCCCATTGAGTTGTAAGTAAGAAACACTCTGAAGAGGGGCTGCAGAGTAATGCTCTTTGCTAATACGATGTGCCAAATTGGTTTCTGGTCATAAGGAATCAATTAATTAAAAAAGTATTTTAATGAGGGGTAGCATTTTCATACGTTAGATTTTTTATTTTAATTTAACGTGCATTTCCTTGAGTGCTTAAGGACTGCAATTGGTCAAACTGATTTTTTGTAAAGAATCTTATGAAAAAAAATAATGTTGTCATAAGATTCCTTATAATTAACAGTGAACCACAAACAAGAAGACATACAGTCAATGGATACTGTGTGGAAGTGCATTTAACACTGAGAACAGGAGGGGCTGCTTTACACAAAGTGTTGTGAGAGTACAGTACATATCAAGCTGCACAGTGATACTGTTAATACCCGCCTGGTTTCTTTCAAGAAACAGCAGGGTGAGATCCAGGAATCAATTAGCCACTATCTACCAGATTGAGATATGTGGACCAAGTAGCCCCCTCTCACTTGTAATCCTTCTTACGTTTTGTCATAGTGTTCCTGAGGTCTGTGCCATTCCTAACATGAAGTGTCATGTGTTTTGCTATGTATTTCTTTGACCTCTCAAAAGTGTCCCTGTATTATAGTCCAGTATGGTCAGGCAGTCTTGTACACTTACATCTGTGCAACAGTTAAATTTGAAAAAAGACTGTCCTCTTGGCTGTTACAGACTTCTTTTTCTGGTTTTTTAATGTATTTATATTTAGTTTATTACTATTAAATAACAGCACAGGAGCCGCACTTTGAGCAAGAATATAATTGCTGCATTTTCTTTTTCCGACAGACTATTAAACCAGCAGACATTGCTACTGTGCGGAAGCTGGCCAAGCCACCACATCTTATTATGCGAATCATGGACTGCTGCCTCCTTCTGTTCCAAAAAAGGCTGGAAGCTGTCACCCAGGACCCAGAGCGGCCCTGCATCAAGCCCTCCTGGGGCGAGGCCCTCAAGGTTAGTGTGTGCTGAGGCCAAAGGGTCACTGTGGCCAAGAACTCCACCAGAACGCTTCTACACCTCTTCACTGAAACCTTTCTGATTGTGGGGCTCAATGGGTTTCACAAAGTGAGACAAATGAAATACTGGGTGCTGGACATTGTTCAAACCAGTAGCACAACTCTGAAAACATCACGCCTGAAAAGAGCAAGGAAGCATGTAACAAATAATCTGCATGAAATAGCTTTATGAATGAAAACAGCAGTTTGAGAAAATTCAGTGAAATACTTATTAATAGCCATGTAGTTGTTCTGGACCAGAGAAGTTTAAGATGGATTTTCTAATATGATCCGAATATATGCTGGCTGAGTTAATTCCATCCTAGGCTAACCTTCCAGGGTGTAGTCTCGCCTCGTTTCCCATGTTTCCAAGATTTCCAGGGCTTCGGGTTCCCACAACTCTTGTTGGGAATAAGCAGCTCATGTTATGTTCAGGAGGTGCATTCAATGGCCTGAAACCACTCTCATTTTAAATGCAAGTGTAGCAGAACATTTACTCCTAGATCTTCCCAGACTGTCTGACAAGATCATGGAGGAATTTGTCAATGCCAAAGCTCTTTTTTCCCCACATTTCCTGTAGATCATCGGCATACAGATCTTCGAAGACTGGTGTCTAAAATTTGCTTATGATATAGTATGTTATTTTCTCTCATTTTCTCCAGATGCTTTTCAATGTTGCTAAAAATGACTCTTTGTCCACGGCTTCTCATTTCCTGCCTGAATAGTTCATCCATGGAGTGCATAGACTGAGCCTCCCTGTCTTGCAAAGGATGTTTAACATGGTTTTGACAGGCCTCGTGATACGCCCATTTGAGCTTTTGCGTGTTGCTTTTTTAAGTATCTTTCCTTGCAAAGAGTTTTTTTCTCTTCTCAATTACATCTGCTAATAGAGTTAGACAAACTGAAAGCGCTTCCTGTGCTCTAGGATACATTAGGCCTCCCTGCTTGTGATAGATCTGTTGTTTGAGAGCTATGTCACTCAGCATCAGGAATATAGTTTGTCCAAGCTGTTTATGTTCATGTGTGATTGTTGAAGCTACTGTACAACTACTGGATTCAAATCCAACTACAAGGGTCACTGGAGACTTGACCGGTAGCACTGCGACTTCCTGGGCAGTTTCGTGGGTAGTCCATGCAGGAGATCTCCCATGTCGCAGTGTGGTCGTCCCTGCTTACTTTTCTAAGTTACTGGAATCTGAAACTCACAAATTCTTGAGCTGCCTCCTGGGCGTCATCTGTTATCCACAACTCCGCTTTCCCTGCCTCCTCTGAAAGTGCTGGGAAGGTCAGGGCGTCCTTGGTGATGAGTGCCTGGGTGACAGTGGTTCATCTTCCAGACAGTGTGGCAAATTCCCTTACGATCTACACCTGTTTGGTAATGGTAACACCTGCTAGTGAAAAGGAAGCTACTGGTTACTTACAGTAGGTAACCTTACTTCCCTGAAATACAGTACTATACTATTTGGAACTTCCAAGGACGCTGTGTTCCTCACTACGCACCCCTGGTAAGAAAAGGTTGGTCTGGTCATTAACCCTACAGTGATATAGCTTGTCTGGGAAACCCAGTCACCATACATCACGCAGACTCATTTGGACTTCAGTCTCCACCACAAGGGGGTTAAAGTGGGGAAGGTTGAGCTGTCTATAATGGAAACAGTATGTCTCAGAGAACCAAGGTTACCTGTAACCAGTTCTGTGAGTTTCCACGCCTTGGGACAGCTAAGTTATTGTCTGTGTCTGTCTGGCTTCCTCAGCTAATGAGTGCCAGCGGGTTCATGCAGTCCCTCCAGCAGTTCCCCAAGGACACCATTAACGAGGAGATGGTGGAGCTGCTGCAGCCTTATTTCCTCATGGAGGACTACACTCTTGAGAATGCCAAGAAGGTGTGTGGTAATGTGGCCGGTCTGCTGGCCTGGACCCAGGCCATGGCCATCTTCTTTGGAATCAACAAGGAGGTGCTGCCCCTCAAGGTAAACCTTCCCCTGCCGCCCCACTAGCAATCCCTTCTTTCTGCCTGTTCCAAACCAGTATGTGGAATCACTTTATCTTTACAATATACTGTATAGATTCACTCTCTCTCTTTGATTTTCATATGCCTCTGAAACATGAGCCGGTTCAGGCTTTCATCCAGAAATAATCCCTGTGTGTCTGTCCTGACCTGCCCCAGGGGTCCTGATGTGCAAGTGTGCTGTGTCCCGCAGGCTAACCTGGTCGTGCAGGAGGGCCGTCTGGCTGTGGCCAATGCAGAGCTGAACGAGGCGCAGGCCCAGCTGGACGACAAGCAGGCTGAGCTGGACAAAGTGCAGGCCAAGTTTGATGCAGCTATGAAGGAGAAGATGGTGAGGCTCACTCTCGCTCAGTAGTGTGTGGAGAGGAGGCAAACAAGCAGAGATCTATTTCATTATCACTTCAGCAATCAATCTGTATTGCGTCTGATTTGTGCCCCAGTCCAACAGGTCATAAAAAAGTGGTTCCCATCCTTGGTCCTGGCAGCCTACTGCATCTGCTGGATTACATTCCAGTTGAGCTCCAAATCCGCAGGCTAATCAATTACTTTAATTGAACCACTTGCTTCTGCACACAGTCCTGATTATCAAAAATACCCCACATCAAGCTTACCTTTTAGGGGGATTCAGTCATATTCTCACAGATGACAGCTCCACCCCACTGGCTTCTCAGCCATGGCCAGACACAAACTACAGTTCTGTTGTTCTAAGGAGTGTCACTCCTGCAGCAGAGCATCACTAGAACGGATGACTGCTGCTTGAAGCCTCAAAACCTGGAGTTTAAGACAGCCTTCCCCCCCCACCTTATTTACCTTTTAACCTGACTAAACAGTTCTTAACAGGTGATCTTAACAGGCAAACAGACACAGGTGGGGATGACAATCAGACACTCCCACAATGAGCTTCCTTTCCTTTTTCCAGTGGTGAAATTGGTCATTTTAGTTAACATACCTGGAATATGGCATCCTGGAATTCAGAAATTGGTACCAGTCCAATTTGACATTTTAAGATCTGAAAGCACATTCAAAAATAGACCCCAAATAATAATTAAAAAAAACTATGAATGAATTAGTCTATTATTAACTTTTAATTAATTAATATTAATTTAATAACTTGTCTGGAAGACATAGAGGTCCCCCAGGACCAGGGTTGAGAATTGTTGCAAACTGTCAAAATAATCATAAAATGCCAGACTGAAAGTGTTTTTTTTCCACCTCCTGAGATTAAGCAGAGTGCGCATGGGCATGATCACAGGAAAAACTGCTATTTACACTGGTGGAGTGTTTTCAGACTGGAGAGCGATTGGTTTCTGTGTAGGACTTGCTGAATGATGCTGAGACTTGCCGAAGGAAGATGCAGGCAGCCTCTGCCCTGATTGATGGCCTGAGTGGAGAGAAAATACGCTGGACCGAGCAGAGCAAAGAATTTAAAGCCCAGATCAACAGGCAGGTGTTTCTGACAATTCAAAAGGGAGCATAGTGTTCTGCACACATTAGCACACCAAATAACAAGTACTTTGTATGCTTATAGGCAATTCTAATAAAAGAAACTGTTAACGTAAAAAGAAAATAGTTTTTATAGTTCAAAAGAAATTGCATTAAGTAAAAAAATGTTTCACAAATATCAGTAATAGACTAATCATGTTTACCTGACAAAAAATGATCAAATTGAATCCATTAACCAAGGGTCAGTATGACAAATTTCTTTCTAAAATTTCCTAATAACGAAGTTGGAGAGGAGACAGATTAATATTGGTGTTACTACTGTATATAAGGCTGCTGTGCAGAAGTATTCACCCCATTCCAGTGAAGGGAAAACTGAAAAGAAAAAACCCAAACTAAGACATGTCGAATGCATACGTTTTCACACCTTGCAAACCTAGGTTAGTGTGGGTGCACGTGATTACTTTTTCAAGTCTCACAATTAGTGTAATGTCCTCTGTGCACAATAAACCATGACCATTGCGGTTTTGTGTGATTTCAGAATACATACAAGTTTCTCTTTAAGGTTCCTCAGTCAGATAGCAAATTTCAAGTAACGATTCACCCATGAAGATAAAAGAGCTGTCAGCTGTAGAGAGAGGGGCTGAATGGTCTTCTCTTGTTTATAACTTGACTTTTGTTGTTATGAGTCAACAATAAGGTCACTCTACAAAGAAAAGCATGGTGGTGACAGGGCGATGTTATAGCTCTGCTTCTCATCAGCAGGGATGGAAAAGCTTGTCAAGACTAAGGGTAACATAAATGGAGCAGAGGACTTGCTAAACATAGAGGAAAGCCTGCTTCAGACCTACTGTAAACCTGGAACAAAAGTACACCTTTCAGCAGGTTAATGATGCAAAGCTTTAGTGGAGTGGCTTTAGAATAGGAAAGTGATTGTCCCTGAGTGACCCAGTCAAAGTCCTGACTAGTAAATAATGAATAGTAAATAAATCAATAGTAAAATAAATAGTAAATAATGAATAGTAAGTCGGAGGCAAGATTTCAGATGTTCGTTAACAATCTTCAGTCAGCTTGACGGCGCTAGAGCAACTCTGCAAAGACGAATGAGTGGGAATCGCGCCATCCTAGCTAGAGACATAATCAAAATGACTTGCAGCTGTAATTGTTGATTTGGAAAATGTGTACATAGGATTTGTAATTCAACCAAATGGGATATCAATGGAAGGGGGTGAATACCTTTACTTGGAGCTGTATTATGTGGTCATGTGTTATGGCCTTGACTTTTATATAAAGGACTTTTCAGGTCTGAAGTCTAACAGAGTATTTAATCCTCTTCTGAACAGGTAAATACTTACGTTCTGGTGAACCTAATCCCTCTGTCTGTAGGCTGGTGGGAGATGTGCTGCAGCTCACAGGATTCCTGTCCTACTGTGGCCCCTTCAACCAGAACTTCCGCAACATGCTACTGAAGGAAATCTGGGAGGTGGAGCTGCGTAGACGCAAGATCCCCTTCACGGAAAATCTCAACCTCATCTCCATGCTGGTGGACCCCGCCACGGTACATCTGCTGCACTGAGAGCCTGCCAGCACTCTCGGCCCACTGTCAGTTTAACTAGCGTGGGCGAGGGAAGGATATGTCATTAGATAATAATAATTGCTTACACTTATATAGCGCTTTTCTGGACACTCCACTCAAAGCGCTTTACAGGTAATGGGGACTCCCCTCCACCACCACCAATGTGCAGCATCCACCTGGATGATGCGACGGCAGCCATAGTGCGCCAGAACGCTCACCACACATCAGCTCTCAGTGGGGAGGAGAGCAGAGTAATGTAGCCAATTCATAGAGGGGGAGTATTAGGAGGCCATGACTGGTAAAGGCCAACGGGAAATTTGGCCAGGACACCGGGGTTACACCCCTACTCTTTTCGAGAAACGCCCTGGGATTTTTGACCACAGAGAGTCAGGACCTCGGTTTTAAGTCTCATCCGAAGGACGGCGGCTGTTTACAGCATAGTGTCCCCATCACTATACTGGGGCATTAGGACCCACATGGACCCCAGGGTGAGCGCCCCCTGCTGGCCCCACTAACACCTCTTCCAGCAGCAACCTTAGTTTTTCCCAGGAGGTCTCCCATCCAGGTACTGACCAGGCTCACACCTGCTGAGCTTCAGTGGGCTGCCAGTTGTGAGTTGCAGGGTGATATGGATGGATGAAGGATGGATGAAGGATGTCTTACAGATGACACGAGAGCAGTGGTATCTGATGACAAATTCTGCCCTTTTCCAGATTAGTGAATGGAATCTGCAGGGCTTGCCAGGGGACGACCTTTCTGTTCAGAATGGCATCATTGTGACAAAGGCCACCCGCTTTCCACTTCTCATTGACCCTCAGACACAGGGCAAGAGCTGGATCAAGAAGAAAGAGCAGAACAACGAGCTACAGGTGGGCTGTCGGCACTCTGCTGTACCTCTAGTAAAACCTCACTCTTCGGGGTCTGTTCCTCAGTGAAAGGGGCCAGGGGTCCAGGGTGGGAAGTGTGTTTGATAAGTGATTCACTAGGTGGCCTTTCCCCTCCAGGTAACCTCTCTGAACCACAAGTTCTTCCGCACACACCTGGAGGACAGCCTGTCTCTAGGACGGCCGTTACTGATTGAGGATGTGCGGGAGGAGCTGGACCCCGCGCTGGACAACGTGCTGGAGAAGAACTACATCAAGTCAGGCTCCACTTACAAGGTGAGAGACTCTTCCATAGCAAGCTGACAGGACTTCCCAGGAAACGTATATGTAAATGAGTCCTTCTAATGATTTATGTTTATAACAGCTCATTTTGCTCCTCTTTTATTTTTCATGTTAAAATTATGAACACTCCATGTATTCTTGTCTATTTGGGTCTTGATTTGACCTTAGTGTGAATTTCTATGCTTAGTGTGAAAATGCACGATGGCTTAGAAAATGGAGCACTATAGTGATTAAGTACAGCGTACAGAGTAACATGTTGGCTTTTAGGATTAAACCCAGTAGAAAAGTCTCTGGTTCTGTGACTGCAGGTGAAAGTGGGAGATAAAGAGACAGATATAATGGATGGCTTCAGGCTCTACATCACCACTAAGCTGCCGAATCCAGCGTACACTCCAGAGATCAGTGCCAAGACCTCCATCATAGACTTCACTGTCACCATGAAGGGCCTGGAAAACCAGCTGCTGGGCAGAGTCATCCTGACGGAAAAATATGTAAGGCACCCCTCGGGCCGGGCAGCCACGTTCTCCTTAATGTCAGAGCCATATGCATTTCAAGAGAAAACCAAGATGGCTTTCGATAAGGGTGGGGGGTTTGATGAGATAGTTTTACAGTCTTGTGGGAACAGGCTACAGCTCTGAAGCATTTGACATGATACATTATAGCCCTTTGCATTGCATTCTGTCCCCATTGAGAATGGAAATGGCGAACTTTGATGGCTTGTTTACGAGTGTCACTTGAACAGCCCCTCTGGTGCACTGTACTCATATGCCCTCCAGCAGCGTGCAAACAGGACTTCCCTGCTGTTTTCTGTCTGCTCGCATGCTGGAAGGTTCAGCTGCTTTGACATAGATACACCCATTTTTGTATTGCTTCATTTGCTGTCACTCAAGATTGGTTGAACTTTTATCAAATTGACCCTTCCATGAACATTACAAGAAAAAAACGCCTCCCCTCTTCCATCTTAAGTACAGGCCTGCTTCTTGAGTAACGTCTGGGAGTGCTGTGTTGCAGGAGCTGGAGGCAGAACGCGTGAAGCTCATGGAGGACGTCACCGCCAACAAGAGGAAGATGAAGGAGCTGGAGGACAACCTACTGTACAAGCTCAGCACCACCAAGGGTATCCTGCCACTGCCCTCCCCTGCTTCATAAACACAGCGCGTCCGCTCATGAGACACATGCTCTGTTTTTCTAAAATCTCCCTGAGGAGTTGTTTGTCCTCGGATGGGAGTTAACTGGGAGCCTCTTAAAGGTGTCACTTTAGTTCTTCAGTAATTTCTCTCGCTGCATTCTTTTTGGTATGTAGTTGTGCCTCAGAGCTGTGATTAGGGCTTCTACAGGGTAGAATTTGCTCTGCTGTAGAGTGAGCGGTGTTGTGCTGGGAGAGCCCTGAGATGGTGCTGTGTGCTCTGTGTTGAGGTTCCCTGGTGGATGATGAGTCCATGATCGGGATCCTGAGCACTACAAAGCAGACGGCAGGGGAGGTGAGCGAGAAGCTGCATGTGGCAGCAGAAACGGAGGTGAAGATCAACACTGCGCAGGAGGAATACCGCCCTGCTGCCTCCCGTGGAAGCATCCTGTACTTCCTCATCACTGAGATGAGCATGGTCAACGTCATGTACCAGACCTCCCTGGCCCAGTTCCTCAAGATCTTTGATATCTCCATGGCCAAGTACTGAACTGCCTCTCTTCCCAGCACACAGACTGGGACATCAGCCTGACATACCTGCCTGTTTCTGCACTCCCTCCTCTCAGTACACAGACTGGGACAGCAGCTTGACACACCTGCCTGTTTCTGCATTCCCTCCTCTCAGCACACAGACTGGGACAGCAGCCTGACACACCTGCCTGTTTCTGCACCCCATCCTCTCAGCACACAGACTGGGACAGCAGCTTGACACACCTGCCTGTTTCTGCATTCCCTCCTCTCAGCACACAGACTGGGACAGCAGCCTGACACACCTGCCTGTTTCTGCACCCCATCCTCTCAGCACACAGACTAGGACACCAGCTTGATTTGCTTATTCTGAACTGAATTTTGCAGTAGGAATAATTTAGATAGTGAAGTAGAACACTGTCATATTTAACTTTTAGAAATGTATCTAATATTTTGAGATGGCTTCACACTTAATCATTATTCATATACTGTACATACAGAACTGTATACAGTTACTGAAGCAGAAGCTGAAGCTGCTACCCTCCTGTAAGAAGTGTGTGTTGCTGTTCTGCAGATCTGAGAAATCCCCTCTGGCACAGAAGCGCATCAGTAACATCATTGACTACCTGACGTTTGAGGTGTTCAGGTACAGCGTCAGGGGGCTGTATGAGAACCACAAGTTCATCTTCACTATGCTGCTGGCCCTCAAGATAGACATGCAGAAAGGCAAAGTCAAACACAATGAGTTTCAGACCCTCATCAAAGGTACAGATCACAAGCCAACGAATGTGCAGAACAGAGAGGATTGTTGTAATCAAGATAGCTGATCATGTACTGGTTTTCTGCAGCCAGGTCTAGAGGAAATGCAGATGGAAACATGCTAACTGATTTTTAATGTCACACTGAGGCATGTGTATGTCAGTGTTGTTGTTTTATATTTTGTTCAATAATATTGTCATATGGGTGACCGAGAACACTCCAGTATTTTTGTTTAAAATATTGAAGTTGCAACTTCCATTTTTCAAACTAGAAACCTGATTTCCTGATTAATATGCATGGAACGTCTCAGAAAATCACACTTTTACTACAGGCAGTTAAGTGAGGCTAGTACCCCACAGGGCCATATCCAGTGCCCCAGTGTGCCGATATGTGCTCTGTGTCTGTGAAGGGGGAGCCGCCCTGGACCTGAAGGCCTGTCCTGCAAAGCCCTTCCGCTGGATTCTGGACATGACCTGGCTGAACCTGGTGGAGCTCAGCAAGCTGTCCCAGTTCAGCGAGATCATGAACCAGGTCGGGTCTCTAGAGTAGCCGACACATCTGTGCATTAGCCCTGTAATTGCACATCTGTCTTTTCTGTATTATACAGCTCAAAATGTGTTTCTCTACTCATCCCTTTCAATAGAGCACCAGAACTGTAATTGAGTTAACTGTAGGTAGACTGTGAATTGATCTCCCACTGGTGGATGCACTGTTTTGACACCGAAGAGCCATACTCATAGCTGTTTGTACATTAACAGAAGTCCTGTTATTGCATGTGCAGGTGTCTCGGAATGAGAAGGGCTGGAAAGTGTGGTTTGACATGGATGCTCCAGAGGAGGGGGTGATTCCTGATGGATACAATGATTCTCTGGACACTTTCCACAGGCTGCTACTGGTCCGGTGAGAGCCTAGATACACTCCAGCTCACACAGAGTTCTCTTCTCCCATCTTTGAACAAGGAGGCCTGAGACACCGTCATAATTAAAAATATTTAGTATACTGTGCCCTAGGCGTCATTGATATGTAATTAAATACAGTGTATTGTTCAAGACTAGAAAGATGTGTGTCCCAATGGCAGATCGTGGTGTCCAGACCGCACCCTGACTCAGGCCAGGAAATACATCGCAGACTCGATGGGCGTACGGTTTGCAGAGCCAGTCATCCTCAGCCTAGAGAAGACCTGGGAGGAGAGCGACATGCGCACGCCACTCATCTGCTTCCTGTCCATGGGCTCCGACCCCACCAACCAGATAGATGCCCTGGCCAAGAGGCTGCGGCTGGGTGAGATCAGCCTGCAAGATCTTACACGCTTACACCGTTTCTGCTGGGAGGCTCAGAACCTACGTGTGGCTGAAGGGTCGCACTCGGACACCCGGGTGTTGTCTGATGGGGCTCGTGGGCAGGGGTGATTCTGACTGGACCTGTGCTCGTTTCCAGAGTGTCGGGCTATCTCAATGGGACAGGGGCAGGAGGTGCACGCCAGGAGGCTCATCCAGATGTCGATGCAGCAGGTGAGTGCTGCTCCGACTGCCCCCTGCTCTCAGATGCTCCGTGTTGACACTTCGCGCTGTTCTGGATGGTAAAAGTGAAGAAACACTAACATTGTGTTGTTACCCATTATCAGTGTTTCAAAATGTGAACTTTGCTGTACCTTGACAAAAAGTTGATTTCTCAATATTTAAACGCGATCCATGAAGTAATTTAAAAGCAATTCTATTTATAGAAATACCTCTATTCTTTTATCCAGGAGATATAGAACTACCTTTTATAATGAGTCAGTGACACTTTAACCCATTAGCTGTGTGGTTACTGTCTGGTACTGGGTGTTCCGGTTGAATGTTAAATCGGTGTGCTTTCAAGAGCAGCTCTGACAGCCCGTCCTGTGTGTGTGTGTGCAGGGCGGCTGGGTTTTGCTGCAGAACTGCCACTTGGGCTTGGAGTTCATGGACGAGCTGCTGGAGACCATCACCACTGTGGAGTCCATGAACGAGGGCTTCCGAGTGTGGATCACCACCGAGGCCCACGAGCGCTTCTCCATCACCCTGCTGCAGGTCCGCCCGTGTCCGCGCGCCGCACTGGGGGGCGTCCTCACCCCTGCCCGGGCTGTCTTGCATCGTTCCCCGTTTGTGTTCCAGTCATCCATCAAGTTCACCAACGAGCCCCCTCAGGGCGTGCGTGCCGGCCTGAAGCGCACCTTCTCGGGAATCAGCCAGGACCAGCTGGACGTCAGCAACCTGCCCATGTGGAAGCCCATGCTGTACAACGTGGCCTTCCTGCACACTGTGGTACAGGTAACAGAGCTCCACCCAGTAGACACAGGGGAGCGGTGCAGACTGGGAGCTCCTTATTTACTATCACCGTTCACAGCACTGTGCGTCATGACTCCTAGTGAGTGGGCCAGCTGAAAGGCCTCAGCGCTGCCTTTGTTCCTCTCATGCAGGAGCGTCGTAAATTTGGCCCCCTGGGTTGGAACATTCCCTACGAGTTCAATTCCGCAGACTTCACAGCCAGCGTGCAGTTCGTGCAGAACCACCTGGATGAATGCAGCGCCAAGAAAGTAAGCCGACTAACAGCTACAGGTCACCGTGTCATCCTGCACTGTTCTTGTGCTTGTCGGTGGACTTTTAATATGATCATTCACGGGTACTCGTGCGTGATTCAGTGGGATTACATTCTTCCAAACTGTTACATTTCAGTGTGAGCAATAAACCATGTCTCAATTTTAAACACAAGAGGAAAAAGAAGCAAAACAGAGGTGCAAAAAGAAAAGTCAATAAGCTAGCAGAAAGCTGGTAAGTACAGCACTGACTGCCCGCACTATGGATTGAACTATATCCCAGTGCACTGTTTGCCTGACTACTACGTGAAGGAGAGGAGAGGAGGACAATTAGCCTTTTGTCCTCAACTGGTGGTTTAGATGGTTAGTAAATTTTCTCTAGCCTCTTCTGGAAGGTCCCCAGAGTCTGGGCCTTAAACAATTGCCTTGGAAGCCTGTTCCAGATAACCACAACTCTTTCCTTCTTTTTGCCTGTCCTAAATTAATTCCCTTTTAGTTTCCTGTGAACCTGTGAAGAAAGGCCTCATTTAGAACACTGTATACAGTTCTGGTCAGCCCATTATAATACCTATATGTTTTAACTGTAAATGTTGTGTTAATTGTATCTGTTTTGGCAGTACGGTAGGTCATTGGTCATGTCAATAAACCTCTGAATTTGAATTTGATATATTGCTGTTTTGAAACCAGTCCAGAGATGATCTATCAGATACATTCTGGGGCTCAAGGGAATGTCCTGCGCTGACAGGCTGAAGGAACTGAGTCTCTTTAGTCTTGAACGGAGAAGAATGTGAGGAGACCTTTACAAGTATTCAAAATCTATAGACACTGAAGTCAACCCAGCATATTTCTGCTGAATGAACAGTGAAAAATGAATCGGAGGGCTCAAGTGGAGGCACATCTATACACAAAGAGTTGTGGGAGTGTGGAACGAGCTACCTAGTCACGTTGAAGCCAAAGCCTTGACATTTTCAAGAAACAGCTGGATGAGATCCAGAAATTGGATGAATTAGCTCCTTACTATTAAGTGGTCTGGATGGGCTATTTAGCCGCCTCTCATTTTTAGCTTTTCTTGTGATTCTAAATTCATTAGCCAGTCCCACATCCATGTATAAAGATTACCTTAGGTTCTTCTAAATTTTTATTTGAGAACCAACATTTTATGAGTGACCTTATGAAAACAGTATGAAATGGTCACATACGTAATGTACTCTAATGCTCCTGTTGCTTGTTCAAATAATAAATAAAGACCTCTTTCTGAATTCATGTAAGATAGCTCTTAAAATTGTGTTGTTTTCTCTAAACTTGTTACAGTAGGTGTTCGGTGTTAGAAAACCCTGGGAAAGAATAAAGGATGTCAGAGAAGAAAACATAGGTAATGGTTTCAGAGTCCTGCTTCCTGTGTGTCTGCCTACAGGGTGTCTCTTGGACCACTGTGCGCTACATGCTGGGAGAGGTGCAGTATGGCGGCAGGGTCACTGATGACTATGACAAACGGCTCCTCAACTGCTTTTCACGGGTAGGTTTCTGTAACAGGGCTGAGGGCTAGTCTTAGGGAGAGGAGAGTGCTGGTTCTGTGTGTTGAGGTTCATGTTCCTTTCTGTCCCCATGTCCTCTCTCAGGTGTGGTTCAATGAGAAGATATTTGAGCCAACCTTCTGCTTCTACACAGGCTACAAGGTGCCAGTGTGTAAGACAGTAGAGCAGTACCTGGAGCACATCCAGACACTGCCTGCTGTCGACTCACCCCAGGTCTTTGGATTGCACCCCAACGCTGATATCACGTAAGACTGAAACCCCCAGTCCTCCACTCTATCAGCTTTCCCCATAACAATTCACTACTGTCCAGCAACGATCTTCTCAAGAGGTACTTGAATACTACTCTCTGATGCAAGGGCAGACAGGCCTTTTCTCCTGACAGACAGAGAAAGGGTCTGCTTGCCGTGAACGGAACTGAAAGGAGGAAGACACAAGGGTGGGCTTGCAATCGTACTGATTTTGCTCTGTTTGTTCCATTGTTATAGCATCAGTGCATTTGAGCTTTCTAAGTGTGTGCTTTTAGGTATCAGAGTAACACATCAGCAGAGGTGCTGGACACCATCACCAACATTCAGCCAAAAGAGAGTGGAGGGGGAGCAGGAGAGACCAGAGAGACTATAGTGTACAGGCTGGCACATGACATGCTGGAGAAACTGCCACCGAACTACCTCCCACATGAAGTCAGTGTGCCGAGACATGCAATACTACTAATCACAGCCTTTAATACCAGACACTTATGGACAAATACTGACGTGCATCATGTTATTTATGTGGTACTGTTCAGGTCAGAGCCCGTCTGGTGAAAATGGGAGCCTTAAACTCAATGAATATCTTCCTGAGGCAGGAAATAGACCGCATGCAAAGGGTGATCAGCCTGGTGCGCAGCAGCCTGAGTGACCTCAAACTGGCCATCGAGGGCACAATCATCATGAGCGAGGTCAGGATCACAGGCTTTTCCTCCCACTCCTCCCTCTGACACGTCATCATGAGCTCCTGAGCGAGGTCATTGCCACAGGCTTCTCCTCCTACTCCTCCCCCTGACACATCATCATGAGCTCCTGAGC